TCTGGTAGATAGCCTGCATGATTGAATTTTTGCCCATTCCCAAAGAATCGCTGCTCGCTTTCCGTTCCCATTTTTGTCGGAATGCCATGAAAGCTAGGAAAATTCTCGTTTTTGCCCCTCCCATGCCTCATGTTGTGGAATTCCCAAATGATCTCTGCTAGTTCACGTAGCTTTCTGGCCGTTTTCCAAATCCCTAACGATTTCTGCTAACTTACCTCGACCATTTCTGGATTTTTAGGCTTCTGAGCTTCGAGAAATTCAGCGAAAACAGTGCAAGAAAGTTACCAATTTTTGCTAATCAGCCTAGCATCCCAGGGAGCTCCAGGCGCCAAAACGGTCCCAAATCCTCTCTGCTAGCCCCTCTGATACATGGAACATTTCCAGTGTGACATTTACACTGTTTCAATGCTATCTGCCAGCCCGCCTTTCCAGCTGAGCTCGCAAATTGATCAGTGCTATTTGAGTTCATCGACGGTGCCGAAAAGATTCCCCAAAAATCTCTGCCAGCTCATCCCCGAGGGCGTTTCAGTTTTTCTAGCCGGGGTCGGTGGTCGAGGTGAGAGCAATGACGCCTCGCGGAACAATTGACTCCCCACTCCATTCCCAAGAAGTAAAAATGATTCGACTGGCTTGGGGGGAGGGGAGGTGTTGAGATGGAAGGGAAGGGGCTCATTGGCAGACACGAATCGAACTGCTTTGTTTCGCCCCCAATAAAAACAGGATCGCTCGCTATTCCCTCGTTTTCTCTCTCTATTTCTCTTTCCTCTCTCTCTCTCTCTCTCTCTCTCTCTCTTTCTCTCTCTCTCTCTCTCTCTCTCTCTCTCTCTCTTTCTCTCTCTCTCTCTCTCGACTGTCCTTAGTTGTTTGCTGGAGTCGCGCGCGCGGGTGCCCGTTTTCGCGGATTTGGAAGATTCGGAGGTAGCGATAGCTGAGGCTGAGGAAATCGATTGTTTCAGATTGTTTTCAGGTTAGCTAGCGTATTTATAGGGCAGTATTAATGGCGTAGGGGGGTCCATGCTATTTTTGTAACTTTTCTTAAAAAATTCAAAAATCTAAATTTTGAAAATTCTAAATGGGCCACGAGAATCATAGAGAGACCTACCGTACTACACTACGTTTCTAAATAGGGACAGCGAGAGGCTGCGAGAGAGACAGAGAGAGAGAGAGAGAGAGAGAAAGTAAGAAAGAGCGAGAGAGAGTGAGAAAGAGCGAGAGAGAGAGATAAAGCGGGAAAGAGCGAAATCTAAACCATAACCAGTCTAAAAGCCGGAAGCTGCCGTCTTTCGCGTATTTTTTTAGCTGCCTTTCATTTTATACTTCCCCATGACGTGGGAAAACCGCTCGAAAGTCCAAGAATCTAGTCCTGCTCACGGAGTTCACCGGGTCTATCTTGAAGGTCCAAAAATAACACGGGTTTTCCGGTGGAGGCGATCGGCCAACTTTGCGCGATCAGCAATGATTTCAGAGGGCGGATGGCTGTGAGAGAGAGAGAGAAGGAGCACGACCGAGTTCAGCCAACAGCCACCGCCAGGGCTATGCCTCGCCCCCAGTAAAGCACCGTATTTTTCGCCATTAGAAGCCTTTAGTTGTGAATTTGAAGGGGATTCGTTCAGAATTTCTCGCTCATTCTCCCTCTCTCTTTCTCTTTCTCTCTCTCTTTCTCTCACCCTCTCTCTCTCACGCGCTCTCTAGCCGTCCGACCCGAATTATAGCTGATCGAGCCTCGACTAACCAATTCGCCCCACAGCCGCGACGGGTGCATTTTAGGATGGTATAAATCGAACTCCAGTCAAACCCATTTGTCAATTGTCACTTCCGTACGCGCCCATAAATCAACTCGGTATCCTGCTTAAAGGAACTTACTGAGCTTTTGAAATCTGTTCAAAAGCCTCAAAAATCTCCCAAATTTCTTAAATTTTTAAATTTTTGGTGAACAGGCAAGCTTCCAGAGCTTTTCCTTACTAAAAAACGGTTGATTGCCGAACTATAGGCTCTTTCTGATAAGCTTCTAAAAACCAGAATCTTTTTTTAAAAACATCTAAATATTTTGAACATTATATTTTCGCCGGGCCGATGTTGTGGCTAGGACTGTTTTTGACGACAATGGCCGAAAAATCCTCGGAAGAAATGGGATCTTCGTCTCATTTTGGGTGCCCTTAAAATCCAGCCCCTGAATTCAATTTTGGAATTTTGAGGGTGTCCAAATATAGGTTGTTTTTAATATGTTAATGATCGACTTAAAGATCCTAAAATCTAGAATTCAGCGCCTCCGGCTACTTGTTATCGACAGATTCAGGCCTTCCTGACCCCTTTAAACCCGGAAAAACCACTCGTTTTCTAATTTGTTTCCTTCCGGGTGTGAGTTCCACTTCCCTGACCGAGCACATGCAATTTCCATGACCTTTTTGGCGATATCCGGATTCCGGATGTCAAAAAGGCCTTGTCCTTTCCAACTTTTTCGTCCGGAAAAGGCATGAGCCGCACCCACCCACCATCGGGTTCGCCCAATCGTTTTCACCATGTTAAGGGCGGCACCAGGATCCGGGTGTTAGGAGGAGCGTAACGGAGAAGCCGAGAGAGAGAGAAAGAGAGAAAGAGCCAGAAAGACGGTCAATTTGCGTCAAACAGATCCATCTCACATCAGCAATCAGCAATCAGCGGCCGTTGCGCATGTGGACACCACCATGACCAGGCTGTTGACCTGATTAACGGCTTTTTCTGGCGGCTTTTCGGCTCTTAAGAATCCTTAGATGTATCGTATCGATCAGAGGAACGTCCTGGTCTTAAAAAACTTCATTTTCATAACATTTTGAGCAAAATTTGGATCTAGAAATTTTGAAAGTTACAAATTTTTCCGATTTTACGGCCCTCACCTTGTTTTAGGCGTTTTTCTTGCTAAAATCTTCTTTCCCGCGATTTTATGGCTTAGAAAAAGGACTACGGTACATGAAAGTGCTTTTTACGTCTGCTAGATTATTTCCCAACGAATCTCTGCTGGCTCGCCTGAGTTTTCCATGGAGTTTTGACGCAGGATTCCGTCTACCAAAGTCCACTTTGACCTCTCAAGATCTAATCCAATTAAACTGACCTCCCAATATTTCTTTCCCACTTTAACGTCATCACCCCGCAATTTCAACAATTTATCTGTTTTCGCCGGCCTTCCTCGGCTGTGACTAATTTGATAAAAATAACCCACCTTCTCGGCAAAATTTCAACACGACCTCCTAACAGGGCAGCTATATAAGGCAACGGCTGGAACTGGTCTGATTTTTTTTCAGTTTCCGATTCTTAGAAATGTATAGGAAACTTAACTGGGGTTTAACTTACTAGGGAGGTATATGAGCTCGTTCTGGAATTATCGTCACAACTCGAGCATCCATCGAACACAACATCTATCGAACTTTCAAGAATTTAGCGAATATCCGGCCGCACAAGAAGCGATAAAAATGTGTAAGGCACTGCGTATAGTGTAATCTCTAGGTGAAAAAGGAGTCTTCCTTACATTTTTTACGTCAACATGCCGAATAGGCTAGGCTTACTAACTAAGGGAAAGAATCACCGATATTCGTAATTTCTCAAAAACTAGGTTCAATCCTCATTCGATCAGTCCCTGACCCCCCGCTTTCCCAGGAGTGCAGCACCGTAAAATCGATTTCTCATTGAAAGACTTCTGCAAGTGTTTCATTGATTTTCTTCTGTGAAAAGCCGAGTCAAGCAATCAATAGCCAAGAAAAGGCTGTAAAACTGAATCATTCCTTGATTTTTTGCTGAGGACAGCAACGAAACGCTACCTTCCCGTTTTTGCCAAAAATTTGAGCAGGTTTTCTAATTTTTGCATGTGATTATTATGGAATTTTCTAGCTACGGGTTGCTATCATATTGGCTTCCGCGAACGTAACACGTGGGTCAAAAAACCGCGTCGTGTTTCGTTAATTGAGCGCAAGACTTTTTGTACCGTGTTTAAAAAGTGGATCATAGACCAAATTTACCTTGCAACCAGTACTGTCCAGCACGCTAGTATAAACCATTCCTCAACGCAAAGACGTTACGCAGCGCTGCGTCGCGTTCCACGGTACTATAAAAAATTAGCTGAAAGCTTGGCTATAGCTATTAGCCGAAAATCCAAGAGTCATACCTTGATAGAAGTCGACTTGCATTTGTTATAAAGTCATACAACCAATTGAAAGGTGTTTCATAAAACCTAAACTCTAAACTCGATATTGACGAACCTCCAAAACTTGCACTTGACCATCACCCAACTTCTCCTTCCCTTCTTCGATTCCCTCCCCCCCCGGTGTGCCATCATCAATTCCCAAAAACTGTCTCATTGGGGTCTGGGTGGTGGTGGGTGCACCCTGATCAACCACCTCAACTCCTCTCCATTTCTCATCCAAAATCATCTCATTTCCCTCAATTTTTGCAGTTTCTCCCTGGTTTTCACCGGCCGTAGAAAAAGGTGCCGGCAGGTAAGAACCGGACTTCCGCTGTTTTCGGGTTGAATCTCGGGTGCTAATCAAAAGGTGGCTACTTCCGGAAATCGGATCATTTTTTATTTACCGTAATCGGATGCCAATAATATTTTTTGAGCTACTTTCAAGCTTTTCTGAATTTAGCGGTTGATTTAACGGCGTATATTTTAGGGCAGTGGCAGAAGCGGGGAGAGCGAGAAGAGAGAGAGAGAGAGAGAGAGAGAGAGAGAGGGGGAGAGAGAAGAGAGAGCGAAAGAGACGGAGAGAGAGAAAGCGAACGAGAGAGAACAGCCAAGGAGCGGAAGAACGATAAATATTTTCTATTTTCTAAGCTTTCATGGGTTTTAACTTTCCTTAATAGATGCTTTCTACTATGTTTTCGGCGGTTTTAAGGCGTTCAAGCAGTTTATAGGAGCTTCTTTTTCAGGAGCTCACCTACCAGCCTTCCGCTACACTCCATCGACGCTCTCGATCGCTCCAGGACCTTTCCCTTCTCCACGAACCGCTCTCCACCCTCCGTATCTGTATTGGATGGTTTCAAGTACCCGGCTTCTGCTCCTCGCCATCGTCATCTCATTCTGCTCCAACTGGCAGTTCGCGTTTCAGGTAGATTAATTTTTTTGTTTTTGGGGCAAATTAGCAGCGGCCATTTGTCGCTTAGACTGCGTAGACCCAAAAGATCAAACGATTGCGATTTTCAGCGCATTTTTCCAAAATTCTAGACGTTTTAAAGGGATTTGCAAGGAAAATATATTGCTGTTTTTGGTCGTGGATTTTAGCGCGACACGCAACGCGTGAAAGCTAAAGGAGCGGCGTTGCATATCGCAGGCACCATGCTTTTAATCCATAACTAAAAATGGCTAACTATGCCTGGCCGGTTCTTTTAAATGGCTACAATATCTCTTATTTGACTACGGTAACGAGGACGCACTTTTTATCCCCTTGCACCCACCGGTACAACGAGCAATTTGTCGTGCGCCCAATTTTCCGACCCAAACGCCCGGAACGGCTCGACTGTCGGGAGCGTGCCGGTCAAAAATTGCTCGGATTTTCTAGTGTTCCACGAAAAGAGTACAACCGGTGTACCTAGGCGTCAAAAATCGAAAAAACCTATTGAGAAGCTCAATAAAATAGTTGCAACTTCCAGATCACCTATGTAAACACCTCTGTGAAAACCTTCTACGACCTCGCCAACCAGGGCTACCGACTGCAACACAACTGCGCTAAGGATGACGTGCGGTAGGTGGAAATTGATGGGGTATTTTTCGCTAGCTGTCTCTCTCCCGCTCTTTCACTCTCTCTCCCCCTCTCTCCTCTCTCGCTCTCTCTACCTCTGTCTCTCACTCTCTCCCGCTCTCTCTCCCGCTCTCACTCACTCTCGCAAATGCGTTTCCTGGCAAGGGCAGGCTAGCAAAGATTATTTGAAAGTGCGGGCTGCCCCCTGGATCCTTCCAAAATTAGACTTCAATTTTTGGAGTTTTGAGGAATTTCCCGTGCTTTTTGACGACTTAGAAATAAAATAAGAAACTGGCAGAGATCCTTTGCTTTCGCTAATTTTAATAAACCCGTTACGTTCCAGTTGCCGCCTCCCCAACGCGGAGTGGTCAGAGCGATGGAGCACGATTGTCTCCAGTTTCTACCCGGGAACCCTCGTCGGGTTCCTCGCGGTGAGTGAGTCAGAGAACATCCTGCAATACACCAAAAAAAAAAATTGGGACAGTCCACCAACCGAATTCGGCAAATCCGATAGTGACTGGGCGCGCAAAATAGGGAACGGCACGCTAGTCGGGGGTGTAAAACGATAAAACGATCGAGGTCCTGCACAGCGAGCAACCATAGCTTGTTTAGATTCCCGACGTTCCAAAAAACGTTTTCCCTAAAAAATCTGGCCGAGCAAAAGAAAATAAAGTATTCGTTAAGTATCTTCCAAAAAATAAAAGAATATGGAGCTCTAGGGACGGGATCTTGAGGTTTTAAAATCACCAAGCCAAGAGGCAAACTAGCAGAAATTCTTGAGGAAGCTGGAAAAACCTGAAAAGAAAATCTAGCAGTGGTTCTTTAGGAAACTGGGAAGGAAAGCCGGGCAAGCCCTAAACAAGCCAGCTAGCAAAGATTCGTTAGGAGACCGGGCAAATCCCCGGAAAGCAAGCTGCAGATATTTGCCAAAAACCGGCAAAAGATGAAAAGGCACTCTAGCAAAGGTTTTTAGGAGACCTAAAAGACAAGCTATCAGAGATACTTGAAAAATCCTAACAAAATAGAAAACTCCTTTAAGGTCCCCTTCATCGTCGAACACATTGGCGTCAAGCTGACGATGATCAGCATGAGTTTCTGCGCGATCGCTGGCTGCTTGGTGCACTTCTTCGCGGCTTATGCGGTGCATAGTGGTATGTTTTCTAGGTGGTGACCTGGCTACCGTAATTTAAAGGCCTTAAAGTATACTACAGTGGTGGATTACAAATATTTTAATCTCCCAAAATCGTCCTTTAGAAGCGATAACCTCGTTTGCGATGCAGTTGCCTCACGGCATGGGTAAGAGAGTGTGAAGACTTGTGTGAAGTAGAGAAAAACTTACGACAACCAATCGATACTAATTACGTTCAATAACCACAAATTGGCCATTTTAATGCTGCACTAATATGAGTTAAACCAAAGCGTGAATCCTTATATTTAATGCCACAATTCCAGCTTGCACACCCATAACCCATTGAATTTACAGTGACCCTTAAATTTCTCACCTTTTCAGGCGGCTTCATGTTCGACTCGATTCTCGTGTTTGGCCGCTTTTTGATCGGATGCCAATCCGGTACCTCGCTCTCCCTGCTTCCGCTTTATATCGTGGAAGTGAGCCCGATGAAGGATCGAGGGTTTCTGAATACCTTCCAGGTAACACTTCATACTTTATTCAAGCGTCCTTTCGTGTAATTTGTAGCCTGGATTTTTAAGGGGTTAGTGAAGGCAAAATTCTACAAATACAAAGTTCAACCCAAGTTTTTCAGCAAGTCGCCCAAGCGCTCGGCACCCTGTTGGGACTTCTGATCGGCTCCGAAGCTATCATCCCGCTTGGAGAGTGGCGGTATACTGTAATGCAGGTACTGTAGCTTGGAATTATACTTTTAAAGGGCTAGGAAGTCAAGCGTAAAAGTTTCCGTGAATATTAAATGAAAATTTTCGTATACTAATTTGCGAACTGTGTAAAAAATTATCTAAAAAATTTCAGATCTCCGCCCTCCTCCCCACTCTTCTCTACGTCATCGTGCTGTCTTTCACGCCAAAGACGCCGATGCAATTGTTGAAGGATGGGGCGGATATCTCGAGTGGTAAGCTATACCTCAAGCTCCGGAGAACAATACCTTTATAGTCCTCTCTTCGCTCCGCTTCTACCACGGAAAAGAGGGGAATTTGAAAGAGGTCGAGAACGAGACGGCCGAGGCCACGAAGCACTCCTATGACCAAAAGTGGGAACTTTTTCGATTTATCTGTAGTTTGGATATTTTCAGGCCCGAAGGTATCCCATGGGCCACGTGGAAGGGCTTCTTCGTTGGAGCCTGTGCCGCTATGAGCTACTCCTTTACGGCTGACGACTTGATAGACACATTTTCGGCGCAGATTTTGCACGTGAGTAGAAGAAGTATCTTTCTCTCGCCCCCCCTCTCTCTCTCTCTCTCTCTCTCTCGCTCTCATCAAAGCTGCTCTTTCCAGAAAGCCCCAATGACGAACGGTACCGAAGACGGCGATCTCATCGACGACTCTGCCGACCGGATATCAGTGATTCTCGGTGGAATCCTGGTTATTGGCAGTATAGCAGGAACATTTTTGGTATGTTTTTCTCAGAAAATCGATAAATTACAATGACTGCGTCCCTCCAACCTACGAAAATTCATATTTTCAGATCGACCGCTACGGTAGAAGACCGTTAATCCTTTTCGGCCTCGTCGGCTCGGCCATTTCCAACGCCGTGGCAGTGATTTTCTGCACGAATTCCTTGGTGGTGACGCTCGGCTTTGCCGCGACGAAGTTGTTTATAGGTATGTAATGTAATAAAAGAAAAACCAGGCAAAGCCAAAGACTACGACGATGCCTAAGCCTAAACCTAAGCTTAGCTAAGCCTGCGTCTAAGCTAAAATTAATTTAGTAATTTCAATACTTGTCCTTCTCATCCAATAATTTATATTAGCTTGATAAGGTGCAATAAAACCTCTTTTAGGACTCGGAGCCGGTGCCCCAGCTTGGTTCCTCACCTCGGAGCTTGTCCATCCCCACTACATGACGGTCATGCAGAGCTTATCTACAGGATTGCTGTTAATGTCGACTGGTAAGTTTTCGAGTTATCCATAAATTTTTAATTATTGTGTTTACTCCTAATCGATCCTATCCAATTTTTTCAGCCCTGGCGACGTTCTTCTTCTTGCGGTTAGAACTTCTGATCGGCACGTGGTCAATGTTCGTCCTCTCCTCGGCTCCAGCCTTGATATTGGCCGTGATACTGTTTTTGTATCTGCCGGAGACGAAGGTAATTTTTGATTTTCCCTAAGTTATTACGTAAGCATACGTTAAAACGGCTTTCTGACCCAAAACATTGGCAAACAAAAATTTTGAACTTCAGAACATTATTTTCGCATGGCATGCTAGCAGGAATTCTTTGGGAGTGGCCAGTGGTTAGAACTAGAGTTTTAGGGCAAACTAGCAAAGGTTTTTTAGCAAAAGATCCGCCGATTCCGTCTGCTTTGGACAGGCTAGCGGGCATTTTTGTTTTTGTGAAATTTTTATAATTCTGGGGGATCCTGCGGACCCGCAAAGTCCATAAAATGTTGGAAAATGCGAAAAGTTAGATTTTCTAAAGGTTTTTAATTTGTTGCATAAATAATAAAGCATTTTAGGATTGGTTCAACAATTATATTGGCAAACATTTAAAAAAGTAAAAATTAGCCAATTAGAATTTTCAAAAATCGGAGCTTAATCGCTCAAAAAAACTCAATTTTCCAGGACCGAACCCACGTGGAGATCCAGCACATCCTCGGCAAGCACACCTTCTCCGGATTTGTGAAAAAGCGCAGTCAAAAAGTGGCCCCCGTCTACGGTAGCCTCTAAATTACAAAAACCCTAACCCACTCGCCAATAAACGGGCCCCCGCTGGAGATGTTGCGAATCGCAACCGTACTTTGAATTTTACAAATTCTACTTTTTATAAAATCTGTATTTTTTTTACCCCTCCAAAACCTTGAAATCCCGGTGCTTCTCCCCAAAAATCTGCCTTATTTAGCCCGCCCTTTACCCTAGTTTTTCCAATTTTTCCATTTTATACATTTTTTCGCCCAAGGGTTCCGCACAGAGCTTTACCGCATCCCGGCTTCTTCTTCTCCCCGTACTTCTTTCTACGATTTTGATACTTTAAAAGGTGTAAAATGTAGTTTGTAGTCATTTTTAACGCATAGTCTGATGCACCCTGACCTCTTTCCTGTCTTTGAGTGTCTTCTATTATCTTTAATTCGATGAATCCCCCCTCCCCCTCTATTTTGCTGTCCCCCTCGCACGTGCGTGTTTCACTGTACATAATAAAGTTCTGGAATTTTTGAAGGCAACAAGATAGGATTACGCAAAACAATCGAAAAGAAGCCTTCCAAAAAGTGACAGATAGTTAAAAAATTTCTCAAAAATTACTGAGTTCAAAAATCTGAAAATGTAGCTAATACCTTAAAATGTGCCTTGTTTAGATTTTAAGAAATTTGGGGCGCATTTTAGAAAACCGGAAACGTCAACGATTAAAGGACGCATCCTCAAAATGGCGCAAACTTTGGAAAATCGTTGTAATTGACGTACTCAAAGAGAGTTTTAAAGCCATTTAAAACAGACGAAACGCCACTTGATTTCGTATATTTTTATTCTTGAGGAAACCTGATGCTTTTTTGAAAAACAATAATCCCCGAACGGGTAAAAGCCACCTTTTAAAAATAACGAAAAACGATTATTATACGTTCAATGGGAATATTTTGGGACATTAAAAAGATCAAAATGTGGTAAAATATTTCATAACCTAATTGGTTCTATTTTAACTGCTTTAGGCGAGGGCTTGCAGAGCATTTTGAGGAAATCGGCGCTTTTTCGGAGAATGCAAATACACCAATTACGCGACACGTGAAGACGAAAATGGGACGTGAAGGACACGTGAAGACGTGACATCAATGATAGGCTAATTTTCTCGATTTTACCGAAAGCTCTAAATGTTGTCAACCTCCCTTCCGAAATACTACCATATACTAATACGCCGCGCTGCCTCATTTCTTTGGCAAAATCTGGCCCCTGAGAGGTAACACGATCCTTCTGGGGCCAGTCTAGCCCAGGGGTCAGCGACTGGCAGGAGGAGCATTTCGTATAAACTGGTCATCTCAGCTGGTCGAGAGAGAGAGAGAGAAAGAGAGAGAGAGAGAGAGAGAGAGAGAGAGCGGACACAAGCTCTTCCTCCCCGTTCTCACACACATGGGCCCCCTCCCGTTTCTCTTGATCCCCAAGCAGATCGATCGAAGGGCCCCTTTGGCTTTTACGTTTGAGCGTAAGGGCCGGAGCACGAGATGCTGACCACTTGAGTCGGGGCCATTTTGATAAGGGCTAGCGGCCAAGTGAACGCATTTTTCATGATTTCTTCAAAAAGCTATTTATAATTCATATAATTTTTTAGAATGCGTCTTTTTCTGTCAGGGCTTTTCGCTTTTTTAAAATGAGCTCCAAATTTCGCAAAAATTGCTGCTAGCCTGCTCTTTTCAAGGTATAATCGTGTAGTTACTTTTTTAATATACTTGAAAGGTTTGTAATCTTTGAGGCTTTTAAGCGCTAGAAATTTTTTTGTGCCCAGTTTTTCTATAGACAGCCCCTAGAAAAAAATGTTGCTACCTTATCAACCCCCTCGCTTTTTTTCGGCTTACGCATTGATATGCTGGCTAGTTCCCATAAATTTCCTACGTGCTCATATGCAACAAACTCGCCCCTATTTTGCGCCCTATGTCGTCGATTTTGAGTGGGAATTTTTTCAAGATGAGGTATCCAGTGTCAGTGCTTTGTTTTTATTCGGAATTTTGAGCTCTAGAAGTTGGAAAGGCACTTTTTCTTGTTTTTAAGCTTTTCCCCACTTTTCCGTCCCTTTTCGGATCCGGCTATGACAAACGGCCATCAAAAAGATATCATTCGAATAGACTAGCTTGCAATATGGGAAACAGAAAGCCATTCGATCCTCTTTTTCCTTCCTCTGCCTGGATCAATTTTTCCAATCCAGCTGAAAGTTTGTATTTTTCAGCTGTTTAAGGATCAGTTTTGTCTACGTTGAAAAAGCGCTAGCTCAACTGCAAAAAAACTCAGATTAAAAAAAGAAAGAAATTCTAGAGATCTTCCAAAAATTCCAAAATTTCAGCAACGACGCCATACCATGGAACCGGATACGTCGACTAGGAATCGGGTAACAATTTAATAAGCTAAAAAAACTGTAGGAATTAGAAGTTGTAGAAGTAGCCTCTAAATGCTTTCAGAAATCCCGCTATCAGTCTGATTATCCAGTTGACACATCATCAGCCGATCACTACAATAAATTGGAAAAGCCGATCGATAAAGACTGGCCGTTATGTAAGTTGTAAAAACCTAATTCTCTTCTCGTCCTCTCCTCGGCACCATTCTTCTTGTAAAAACTTTCTTCAAAACCTTTTTCAGTAACATTTTTGGCGATCGCTGCGGGGCTAATTGTTTGTGGCGTGCTAGCGGCCACTTGGGTAAGTTTCAAATTCACTTAAAGTCGTAATTTTGAAATGTTTAGGCCGGTTTCATCACGCACGACGATGACCGGTATCGATCGTATTACGTAGGTTCTGCAGACGCGATTTGATGCTTTTATTTCAGCCCAAAAATATGTTTCTTTTCAGCCCCACCAGAAAACTGAAAATGCTGATCACGGTGAATCGATAGATATTCGTGAGTTATAGCTTTTAGACATATTTTAAAGAGTTCTCTGGCATGAAAATGCCATTAAAATGTCGCAAAATTTAATGGATTCCCTATGGATTTTGCTGTGACCGTGACACGCAACGCGTCCGATGCTTGCCGTCTTTTATTTTTTTTTTTTTTTTTTTTTTTTTTTTTTTTCATTTTTTTTTTTTTTTTTTTTTTTTTTTTTTTTTTTTTTTTTTTTTTTTTTTTTTTTTTTTTTTTTTTTTTTTTTTTTTTTTTTTTTTTTTTTTTTTTTTTAATTAAATTTTTTTTTTTTTTTTTTTTTTTTTTTTTTTTTTTTATTTTTTTTTTTAAAAACTTTTCTCCCCCCAAACAAAAAATTTTTTTTAAAAAAAATATATTTTTTTTTAAAAAAAAAAAAAAAAAAAAAAGAAGGTGGTTTGAGCCCCCCTTTTTTTTTTCTCCCCTTTTTTTTTTTCCCCCCATTTTCTTTTTTCCTTTGGGGGGGGTTTTATTGGGGGGTTTAAAAATTTTTTAAAATTTTAAAATTTTATAAAAAAAACTTTTCCCCCCCCCGGGGCCCCCCCTCCCCCCCACCCCACCCCCAAAAAAAAAAAATTAGATAATTCCTGAGCAATTACGCAATGGAAAATGTTGCGTCGTGTGTTGCGTTTCGTGTTGGATTTAATACGGAATCTGTAGATCTCAGAATATAATAGTCCTGCATTTTTATCCCCATTTTTAGCAAAGAACACACCGGAAAAAGAGGTCTGGACGGCGGCCGTACCTGGCCCCGTCCCTACGCAACAACGACCACCTGCACCCACGATTCACAGGCAACAAGGTAATTTTTTGAAGAAGCGAAATTGGCTGAATTTTGGAGAGTATCCACTTCCAAAAGTTCAGGCAATGCTAAAACTAACAAATTTCTCTGGATTTTTAGAAGCTCCCATACCGTCCCAGGCTCCAGTCCAACGACCGGTGGTAGCGCAGCCGGATCAACAAGCTCAACAAGCCCAAGCTCAGGCTCAAGCTGAAGCCCAAGCACGGGCTCGAGCCCAGCAAGCGCAACAGGCTCAGCAAGCGCAACAAGCACAGCAAACGCAACAGGCTCAGCAAGCTCAAGCTCAAGCCCAGCAAGCCCAACAGGCTCAACAAGCTCAAGCTCAAGCCAAAGCTCAGCAGGCCCAACAAGCACAGCAAGCGCAACAGGCTCAACAAGCACAGGCCCAGCAAGCTCAGCAAGCCCAACAGGCTCAAAAAGCGCAGCAGACTCAACAGGCTCAGCAAGCTCATGCTCAAACACAGCAAGCTCAAGCCCAGCAAGCGCAGCAAGCACAGGAGGCTCAAGTTCAAGCTCAACCTAAACCGGCTGCTGCTCAGGCTACGCAAGCTCCTCGGAAACAGCAACAAGGTCAGCAAGCGGCGGGTAGGAAATGGATGCAAAGCCAGAAAAATTGTATTTTCCTTTCAGCTGGCCAAGCTACACAGCAGCAACCTACTGCAGCTCCTGTACAACAACAACCGCAACGAGGTGTGATTTTCAGCTTATTTTGAACTTTTTGAACACCTTAAACTTGATGATCACAAACTTTTTAAACATCTCAAAATAAAGAATGAACCTTGAATCCGAATAAAGGAGTTAAAGGGAACTTTTTAGCCGCAAATCCAGCTCAAGCCCAGCCCAACCAGCAACAACCAACTGCAGCCCCAGCCCAAGGTACAGAAAGTAGCTTAAAAAAGTTTAAAAAGTCTATCAAAATTTGAAAAGCAGATGATCCGAACAAAATAAAAATTTAGCGCAGAAGCCAGCAGCTTCGCCTCAGCAACAACAACAGCCTAAGCAACAGCAACAAGCTCAACCGACTCGAGCAGCTCCGAGTAAGCCCTGACACCGGTAGATTTTACACATGAACGTCTAGCCCCAGCTCAACGCCCAGTTGCTGCTCAATCCCAGCAAGCCCAGCAAGCCCAACCGAAGCCAACACCCCAAAAAGTTGAGGCGGCACAAGGAAATTGATCAAAATGTACGATAGTTCATAATAAATTATGTATTCTTAATAAAGCCCTAAATACAAACAATTGGCATATCAAAATAGGTAAAAAAATTCGGAAAGATGTACTGTTCAAACAAAGCAAAAAGCAAAAAGTCTGATGAGAGTGGGATTCGAACCCACGCCCCCGGAGGGACTGGTGCCTTAAACCAGCGCCTTAGACCACTCGGCCATCTCACCGCGGGGCTGCGTGACGCGAAAGGGACTTATCAGTGCGAGTAGCAACCAGCGGCCGCCCTGGACTCGGATTGCGCGGTCATAAAGCGATGCGAAAAATTAGTTTACATCAGAAATTTGCATGCAAAATTACGAACCCGAAACGTGCAACCGGGAAAATCCGAAAATCATTTCCTCATTCTACAAACATCACCCAAACGACCGGGACGCCCGCTCTGCTTCGACGAGATGTTCAAGAACTACCAACCGGCCACCTTTGTAGTGAGTCTCTCTCACTCACTCTCTCTCTCTCTCTCTCTCACCGGAGACACTTCTTTTTCAGTTCGTCTTCAGCGGTGGTCAAGCGGCTGACGTTGCGACGATCGCCGCTGCCGTGTCGGCAGCTACTGGCGCCCAGCCCGCTGCGGCTCAAGCTGCTGCTCAAGGTGCTGCTCAAGGCGCTGCTCAAGGTGCTGCTCAAGGTGTTCCTCAAGGTGCTGCTCAAGGTGCTGTTCGAGCTGCTGCTCAAGGTGTTCCTCAAGGTGCTGCTCAAGGTGCCGATCCACCCGCTGCTGATCAACTCGCTGCCCAGCTAGCTACCGCTCCCGCTGCTGCTCAAGCAGCCGCTCCACCTGCTGCCGTTCCCCCCGCTGCCCAGCCAGCCGTCGTTCAGCAAGTCACTTCTCAGCCCGTTGCCGCGCAAGCTGCTGTTGCTCAACCCGCTGCCCAGCCAGCTGCCGCTCCCGATGCTGCTCAAGCAGCCGCTTCATCTGCTGCCGTTCCCCCCGCTGCCCAGCCAGCCGTCGTTCAGCAAGTCGCTTCTCAGCCCGCTGCCGCGCAAGCTGCTGCTGCTCAACCCGCTGCCCAGCCAGCTGCCGCTCCAGCTGCCGCTCAAGGTGATGCTCAACGAGCCGCCGCTCAAGGGGTTGCCCAGCCAGCTGCCGCTGCTCAAAACGCTGCTCCATCTGCAGCTCAAGTTGCTGCTCAACCCGCCGTTCAGCCAGCTGGTCGTCGTCCCCGTCGAGGCGCTCTGCAAAAGCGTGTCCGACAAGTAAATGAATAGCCTTTCAAAGCCAATATTCCACATTTTAGGTTGGCTACTGCTTCTGTGGCGCGCACGGCCCGATCGATGCTGACTACGGCGTGATTGCGTGCCAGCGCTGCAAGCACCAATTCTAGTGAGTGACTTTCGAGGGCGCCTTAAAATAAATTTTTTGCAGCAAGGCCTACTGGAGAGTGCAGCAACACGGTCGACGTTGTCGGCGGCCGAACTGTGGTGGTCCTGGTGCGCCTTTCGGAGCCAATTTTGAAATTTTAATAGAGTTTTTTCAATTTAATTGAATTTTTTATTTAGTTTTTAATGGGATTTTCATGGCATGTTGCGATTTTTACAGCCTCCAAAACTTTTGAAACTGAAAAAGGTCGAAATTTCGTCATGAAACCAATTCTTCCAATGTGAATAAAAAGCGTATTTTTAAAGTGTTTTTAATTATTCCTAATCTTTCAAACGTTGCGCATCAAAAATACAAAAAAAACATCTAGTTTTCGACGAAAACTTCAACTAAGACTTTTTCTAACCTTTTGTTGTTTTTCTTTCGAATATAATACAACTACTAAAAATCGTAGAAGAGCGTAAAACTGAAGTCTTTCGCATTATCGGGAGGGGGTGGGGCGGTTTTGTAGAAAAAATTTCGGTCCTCCCCCCGCTAATGCAAAAGAACGAAAGATTGTAGATGTCGCGTTCTCAAGATTTTTTGTCAGCCATAATTTTTGAATTCCAGGAAAGTGCACCTTCCACACCCTCCTCCGTCTCGAACAGATTGGCATGCAACCGCTCTGGATCCCCAGGAATTGAAGCTCTTGATTCAAGCACCAACTTTCGCTAGTCATTCGCTTTTCGATGCAATGCTATTTCTAATTCATTGTGTGATGTAACAGATTTAATATGATGTTTGGGATGTGAATAGATATTTGGGTGTGAATCTTAGCGTTTTTTTGCGTGATAATTGTTGTGATTTCTCTTATCCTGCATTCATACTGTGATGTAACTAATCGAATGTTATGTTTGGGACGTGAATAAATATTTGGGTGCGAATTCCGAAGAGCTTCCAACTGTATTCCGGCTTTTATTGGCGCGTGGCGTAGTGATTTTCAAAAACGTATTTTTAGGGCAGGAAGAGCTCTCTCTCTCTCTCTCTTTCTATCTCGCGCTCTCTCATTATCCCTCTCTCTTTCACTGTCTATCTCTCTCTGTCTCTGTCACTCTCCTTCTTTCTCACTATCTCTCTGTCTATCTCACTCCCTATGTCTCTCTCGCTCTCTCGCTTTGTCTCACTATCACTCTCTCTCTCTCTCTCTCTCTCTATCTCTCTCTCGCTCTCTCTCTCCCTCTCTCTCTCCCTCTCGCTCTATCTCTCGCTTTCTCATGGTCTCGATCGCTCACTGTATCTCACTCACTGTCTCTCTCGCTGTGGAGCTGCCACGAAACTTACAAGAAACTCGATTTGCATCACAAACTATGCATACCTATTTGCATCACAAACTGAATGCAGAATTACAATCCGGGCACGAAACTGAAAATTTGAACATATCTCCCAGATTCTCCAATCTACACCCGAACTCCCGGGCCGTCATCTTTGCTTCAACGAGATGATCAACTACCACTTCACGGTCGGTTGAATTTTTTTTTATTTTTTAAAAAAAAAAAAAAATTTTTTTTTTTTTTTAAAAAAAAAAAAAACAAAAAAAAGGTTATTTCTTGAGAACTTGAGAGCTGGCTTCCAAGCTTTCACTTCTGAGAAGCATCGCTATTTTGGTGTTGTATTCCTAGACGGGTTTTCAGTTCGTCTTCGGCGCGGGTCAGACGCCAGACGCTGCGACAATCGCCGCCGCCGTTGCCGGGGCTACTGGTGCTCAGCCAGTAGCTGCTCATGCTGCTGCTCCAGCGGCCCGGCCAGCTGCCGCTCAAACTGCAGCTCCACCGGGCGCTCTTCAAGCGGCTGCCCACCCAGTTGCCACTCAGCAGTTGCCGCCCCCCCGCCCCCCGCCCGGCCGCCGCTCCGGGCCGCCGGCCGGCCGGGGGCGGGGAGGGGGCCGGCGGCAGCCGCCGCTCCTCCTGCCGCTCCTAGGAAAGCCCAGAAGGCCGTCGCTCGAGCGGCCGCCGCTGTCAACATCGTGCAGCCAACCGCCCGACCTATTGCCCGTCCCGCGCCTGCGCCTCCGCGCCGCGCCCGCCCTCCGGTCAACCGCCAGATCCCCGCACAACAGCCACCCCTCCAAGTTCCTCCTGCTCGCCATTTCGTCGGCAGGAAGCGCGTCCGACAAGTACGAACCGTTCAAAAGAACGATTTAATCAAGCGTTCTTTCGCCTTATCGGGGGAGGCTTTTCGTGGTTTCGTTTCCGAACTTTCTTGTATAGGTCTAGAAATGCCTAGTAACTTAATAGAAAGCGTTTTAATAGGCCTTTGAGTATGCTATGATTTTATTTTAACTCGAAAAACTCGAAATTTTGGTAAAAAATCGGTCTTTTTATCGATATTTTTGATGTTTTTTTTAAGAAAAATTTGTAGAGTTTTCGCGTTTAGGGATAGCAAAAACCCTTTTAGAAGCACTTCCACTATTTATATTTCAAAAATTAAATTCTAAGCAAAAAGAAGTGGAAAAAAGTGGTTCACCCCCGCCAATAGCCCAGAGGCCCGCTTTTTTAGGTTGGCTACTGCTTCTGTGGTGCGCACGGACCCGTCGACGCAGACTACGGGGCACTCGCGTGCGACCGCTGCAAGAAACTGTTCCGGTGAGTGCACTTTCCGGAAACCACGTGCCCCCGGTTTTCCAGCAACGCCTGCGACGCCGTCAAGAACTGGGGCCCGGGTTGCCGAAATGGGTGCAAGCCATCTCGTACGTCTTTTGGTACTGGATTGTTAGCGAGGGGGGTGGTTAGCAGGGGAGGGGACTAATTTTTGCTTTCCCAGAATAATCTCTAAATTCCAGATCCCTGCAGCTACCACAACCTTCTGCGGCTCGAGCGGCTCGGCATGCGCGCCGACTTCATCCCGAAGCGCAAATAGGCGCATTCCAAATGTTCACTTTTCGGCAGCAATACGTGCTTTTTGTGTAATAATTATTGTCGATTAATACCCTTTGTGTATCTATGGTGTGTTATAACATATTTCCTGTATTGTTTGGGACGTGAATAAATATTTGGGCGTGAATTCCGATCGATTGCCTGGTTTTTGACAATTCTTGGTGCTGGACTGTTAGGGGGGGGATTTGAGCAGTGAACAACTATTTTTTCTTTTTTCCCACCCATACCGCGCTGTTAATAATCAATAGCGTATTTTTCTAATGTGTTTTTGAAGTTTTTAATTGCTAGAAAGTTATCCAACATTTTTGAAAATTCGGAAGTTTTGTCCCTTTTTGTAATTTTTTAATCCTTTTGCCAAAAAATTTATTGTTTTTATATTGGTTTTCTATCTAAGAACGATATAACATGTATGTGTCCAAAAATTGGCTAGACCATAAAAATATACATTTTTACAATGTTTGAAGCACGGACTACGCACCGGCGGTTTCTGACGCGACTACGAGAGTTTTTCAGTTTTTCTCTAGCTTAGGCTTAGCTTAGCTTAGTATTGGCTTCACTTAGGCTTAGGCTTAACTTAGCCTAGGTTTAGGCTTAGCTTAGGTTAGGCTTAGGCCTAGCTTAATCTAGGCTTAAGCTTATACTAAGCCTCAGTACCTCGCTCTTAGCTTGGGTCCGTCACAGCTTCACTGTTTTTGGCTTCGACCTAGCTTTGTTCAACCGCAATTTAACTGTGCTTTGATTTAGATTAGCATGGGAGTTAAGTATTGCGTTGGATTAGACGCAAAACTGACCAAGTAGCCCAAAAATAACCTAAAAAAATTTTGCTCCCCCGCAACTTGAATAGTACGGAAAAGGCTATCAGAATGCTGTTTTAAACGTACCTCTAGCATTTCCAAGCAAAAAGCAACAAATTTCAAAGCCCGGGTCTCGAACCCACGATCTCCTTTCTTGAAACCAGCGCCTTAGACCACTCGGCCATCCCAACATTGCGCAGGGGGGGGGGGTTGAAAGAGGGCAACGATCTCTTTCCAGCTGCTCTCTTCGAAGGCTACTTGGTAAAACGCGCCCTCCCAAAAATTAACTTTGCATAACGAATTTGCATGCAAAATTACAAACCGGAAACGGGCGACCGGGAAAATCCGAAAATCATTTTCTCATTCTACAATCAACACCCGAACTACCCGGCCGTCTACGCTGCTTCGACGGGATGACCAGCAACAACAGCCACTGCCACCAGTTTTTTGTCAGTTTTCCTTTTATTATTTTCTGATGTATCATTGTAAAGTATATCAAAATTTTCGCCTTGTGTTTGCGCAGTAATACTAGGTTAAATTTGATGTGAAATGAGCGGGAATAGACCAGATTGAAGTGGAAAAGTTGAAAATGGACACGTGGCTGTTAGGCAGAAGAACGAATTTAGCCCCTGCCCCCGCCAACGAACCAGAACCTGAAACTGGCTAAAGTTTACTCTGCGATTATCCGGACCGGGTTTTTTCAGTTCATCTTCGGCGCGGGCCAGACGGCTGATGCGACCGCAATCGCCGCTGCCGTGGCCGCAGCTACTGGTGCTCAGCCGGCTGCCGCTCAAGCTGTTGCTCAAGCTGCTGCTCCACCCGCCGCTCAGCCAACCGCCGCTCAAGCTTCTGCTCAACCCGCCGCCCAGCCAATCGCTGCTCAGCCAGTCGACGCCGAAGTTGCTGCTCAAGGTGCCGCTCCACACGCTGCTGCTCAAGTTCTCGCCCCACACGCTGCCCGTCCGACTACAGCTGTGGCTCAAGCTGCCGCCCCATCTGCCGCTCCTCCGGCTGCTGCTCAAGTTGCCGCTCAGCCCGTTGCCCAGCCGGTCGCCGCCCTAGCCGCCACTTCCAACATCGTCAAGCCAGCCCGCTCCCCGGCTGCTCGGCCCGTTCCTCGTCAAGCGCACCTGCGCCGCGCCCGCTCGCCGGTGAGGGGCCCGACGACGCCCGCCCAGCCTGGCCCTTCATCCGCTTCACGTGGACGCCCGCAGCGTGCCCGACAAGTAAGAACTTTTTTAACGGAAAACCGTTTCCTGATTGGTTCTGGACGGTTAGCGGGGGGGGGGACCAAATTTTTCCTAGTTTTTCTCTGAGGTCCTATAACAAAATATAAATCTTTTTATATTATTCTCTATGGTTTTTAGATATTAAAACAATATCAAAAAACTAAAAATTTCGACAATTTTAGATTTTTTTTGTCAAACATGTATGAAAAATGGCCAAAAAGGCGAAATTTTTCGAATTTTCTAAGTTTTAAAATACTTTTGGAACTTTCTGGCCTTCAAAAACTACTAAAAATATTAGAAAAACACTTTACATAGCATGAACAATAGCTCGCAAAACAAAAAGTGTTCCCCCCCGCTAACAGTCCAGAACCCTCGCTTTTTTAGGTCGGCTACTGCTTCTGTGGCGCGCATGGACCACTGGATGCGGACTACGGGGCACTCGCGTGCGACCGCTGCAAGAAGAGCTTCTAGTGAGTGCTTTGCCCCACAGCGTCATCAACCTTGTTTCCAGCAACGTCCACCGTGCAGTCGAGCGAACTGGTCGGCGCTGTGGCCCGCGGTGTGCCCAAAATTCTAGTGGGTTTTTTACAGGTTCTGGACTCTTAGCGGGGGGGGGCACTTTCTGTTTCTCCGAAAATTCGAAAATTTGAGCTTTTTGGTAATTTTTCAGAAATGTTTGACCAAAAACTCTAATTTTTTGAAAACTATATTGTTTTTATGTAAAAAACTATGTAAAATGCTAAAAAATTGGGGTTTTTTGTTATGGGGCCGTAGAGAAAAACAGAGAAATGGTCCCGCCCCCGCTAACAGTCCGCTACCTTTTCACCTACATGGGCTTCAAATGTCTTTGGGAATTCCCATAATATCTGATTTACAGGGATGTGTAGCTACCACAACCTCCTGCGCTACACGCAGATCGGCATGCGCCCCAACTGGAAGCTGCAAAACAAATAATTCTTATTTCCCTGTTTTTGTGTGTCAATCTTAGCGCTGTTGTCCTAAACTAATTATAAAACTTAATAATAGCTTTTTCCAATCATTATGTGATATAACGAATATAATGTATTGTTTGGGACGAGAATAAATATTTGGGTGCCAATTCCGATCGGCTGCTATCTCCGGACTTACGGTGTTCATTGGTGTGCGGCGTAGTGACGTGAAAACTTTGCTGCTTGCTGGTTTTGTTATGCTGCGCGCGCTCTGCTAAAAAGGTCGCAATTGAACGACTCGTGTGAGAAGTTTGAGGCGGAACACGAAAAGCTTCGGCTTATTTTAGAACTGCAGCCGCTTCGGACGCAATGAACCTTGAGAAGCCACACGTTTTCCTAGAAAAACATTATAAACGTGGAAAAAACTACTAACAAGCGGACGTTTTTTTAGTGACGACCGAGTGTCTGTACGGGGCGAAGCCCAATTTGTGCAGAATCTGCAAAACCCTCAGATGGAAAAAGTTACGAAGCTTAGGGCAAAAAAGGCCAAAATTTGACGAAATTGGGCCAGTTTAGGCCTTTTTCACACATGAAATTTCTTTTGAAAACCTTCATAACTTTTTGAATCTTATAGTTTCGCAGATTTGAAATCAGGCTCCGAATCAGCGCAAAATTCCGCACAAGATAGGCTTCGTCTCGTTCAGATGCTCGACTGTCACTAAAAAGCATATCCTTGTAAGATATGCAGGTACGCTACGCGACCCGGCTGCTGCGAAGATCAGCGTAAGAAATGAAGAAAATCCATTCTAAAAGTTTTAAACCCTATAATTTATAAAGAGGACGGATAGAAATCACTTACAGCCAAAAAATAACCTCTCATCTAATTTGAGCCCAAAGCAGACCAACCTCTATCGAAAAAACGTCAGAACGTCAGTTCCGCTTCAGAAATTGGCAACACCTTGCAAAATTCCAAAATCCAGAAGGTGCTGGCCAACTTGAACGTCCAGGATATTGGCTTACGACGCAAAATCTAAAAGAAATTAAGAAACCGGTTCGAAATGTACCTTCAAATCCTTTCCAAGTAGCCACTTCGAAGGCCCGAAAGTCGATTGCCTAAAAATAGCGATTTTCAGCTCCCAAAATTGAGCTAATCCCTTTTATTTGTAGAAACAATAACGAAACAGCTAAGAAAGATCTACACCCAAAAGCGGCAAGAGCCAAAAAAAACTGGGCGCGACTCGAGGCGGGTAGTTCCAAGTAAACAATTGGATGAAGCTCACGGCCGGGCTGCATAAGCCGAACCGCTAACGGTGGAAAAATTTTTTTTTAAAAGCCACGCAGGGTCTAGGTAATTAATACAATCGATAATAACTTATGCCTTTCTGATGAAGCTTGAGCACGATCATGCGCGCGGGCAGGCTTGTCATTCGGCTACGAGACATTACGATCCCCGCGTGGCGTCAAAAGCGTGCCATGGCACCGCCGGATTCACGCCTGGCTAAATCCATCTTCAGCGGTTCCAATGTATCCGAAAAAATCTAAAGAAGCATTAAAAATTCGATTATAAACCTACCAATAGCATTTCCAAGCAAAAAGCAAAAGCTTGGAAAGCCAAGGATCCGAACCTACGCAAGTCACTGCCTGCCACCAGCGCCTCGGACCATTCGGCCATCCCAACATTTCATTGGGCAGGGGAAAGGGAAGCTGACCGGTGTTCTAGATTCCCAACTTGGAAGACTCCGGAAGGTCTAAAAAATCCTGAAAAATAAGAAGAAACTAATTTGCATGATAAATTTGCATGGAAACTTACCAACCGGAAGTGGGCAGTGCGGAAAATCCGAAAAAGATTTCCTCATTCTCCAATCTACACCCAAAGCCCCGGGACGTCCACTCTACTGCGACCAGATGGCCACCCAGCACAACCACCGCCCGATGTTTATCACGGTAAATTTTTGGTACTTGACTGTTAGCGAGGGAGACCCGCTTTCTTTGGTTAGACTTTCGCGCGTCCTGGCTTGCCAAAAACGGTCTTTTTAGTTCGTGTTCGGCGCGGGCCAGACGATCGATGGTGCGTCGATCGCCGCCGCGGTTTCCGCAGCTACTGCTGCTCATGCTGGTGCTCAAGCCGCCGCTGCTCCGCCCGCAGCCCAGCCGACGGCTGCCCAGTGTGCTGCTCCACCGGCTGCCGGTCAAGCTGCTGCCCAGCGGACGGCTACTCAAGGTCAACCAGTCGCGCAGCCAGTCGCTGATCAACGCGCCGCCCAGCCAGTCGCTCCTCTACCGGCCGCTCAGCCAGTCGTTGCTCAACGCGCCGCCCAGCCAGTCGCTCCTCTACCGGCCGCTCAGCCAATCGTTGCTCAACGCGCGGCCCAGCCAGTCGCTGCTCAACGCGCCGCCCAGCCAGTCGCTGCTCAACCGGTGGCTCAGCGAGTCGCTGCTCAACTCGCCGCTCAGCCAGTTGCGGCTCCACCAATCGGACGCGCTATCAAAACAACCGCCCGGATGCGCACCTACGCGCCGCTGGGCGCCCCGCCCAGGGCCCCTGGAGCTCGCCCAGTCCGTGTGCCACTCCATCTCCGCCAGGCATACACTGTTTTTCATCATTTCTAACCATTTCCTAGGTTGGCTACTGTTTCTGCGGCGCCCACGGCATCCTCTACCCCGAGTACGGGAAGCCGGCGTGCAGGAACTGCAAGCAGAAGTTCTAGTGAGTGTCTTTTGCTGCAGCGCGTAAAGCTCGTTTTTTGCAGTGACGCTGACAAGTTGTCAGGCGCGGCGGTGCCATTTGTAGGCCGAACTGTGGGAATCCTAGTGAGTTTTTTTCAGTTTCGCTACTTTTCCTAAAAATACTTTCAAAAATTCCCATTTTTAGCCCTCTGCTATCTCCACGGCCTCCGCAACTTTGAGCTGCTGGGCATGCGCCGCGACTTGATCACGCACAGGAAATAAGCCTTCTTCAAACGTGAAGCTTTTACATAGCAATTGCTCTTTGTAATAATTATTGTTCTATTAATGTTTTGTTCGCTTTCATGATGTGATATAACTAAATTAATTGGATGTATTGTGGCGAGAATAAAGTTTGGGTTTTGGAGCTCGAAAAACGGTTACCTTTGGCGTTCGGCGGAGATCATCGTGCGTTGTGCTTGTGGCGCCTTGCAGTGAACGACGCACCACGAAACAAATTGGCATCGAAAGTATCCTGGATAAACGTTGGGTGCGAAAAAGCAACCTTATCACCGATCCATCACTTCGACTTGAAAAGATGTCAAACCCTCAATGGCCCGAGACGAAATTTGAAAAATTATACGCCGCACAAGAGCAAACAAACGTGCTGACCATTTTCTGTAAACTATATAGCCATCTTTATACAATCGCACATAGAAAACACGTCCTCAGCATAGATATATCTCAATGCTATCAACAAAAAAGGAACAGACACACATGGATGATGTGGGGGACCAGTAATTCGGATTGATGGCATGCAGTAAGAATTGTATAGCGCGTAGAAGACAATCGAGCATCGCGGAGGGGATAGATTACAATCCAGAAAAGGGTATACATTCGAGTGGAAGAAGATGGGGATAAAAGAATGGATCACTAGCTAGTGCCTTGCTTAAAAGTACAATCGAGAGCGAGAGGAGCCGAATAGGGTTGAGCAGATCGGGGGATACACGTCAACAGCAAAACGCCAACTTCTTACTTCCCGTACGCCTCGACGAGCATGCCGACGCCGTGGCCGCCAGCAGCACAAGCGGCGATCACGCCGTATTGGCCGCCTTCCTCCTAAAAAAGAAGATCGTTATTAGGGTTTGTTAGAAAGGTATACCTTCAGACGGTGGGCGGTGTGGGCGAGCAATCGGACGCCGGTGGCGCCGAACGGGTGGCCGATGGACAGCGAGCCGCCCCACGCGTTGATCTTGTTCATGTCGAGGCGACCGACCTTCGAGCGCTTCATCCATTTCTGAAAAAATCCGATTGATTAATCACTTTCTTCAAAGTATCAAAGCGTAAGGTTGCCGCCAAATTTCTAACCTGGCAGAACTCCTCGCTGTCCATGGCGTTGAGGTTGGCGAGCACCTGGCCGGCGAACGCCTCGTGGATCTCGAAGACCGAGATGTCCTTCACGGACAGGCCGGCCTGGAAGGAACCAATAGAACACGTAAAACTTAGAATTCGCTTTATAACGGAACTCCACTCACCTTTTCAAGGACACGCGGGATGGCATACGCCGGCGAGAGTAGCAGCTGGTCCTTTGGGTCCTGGGCGACGAACTGGTACTCGCGCAGGTAGGCGAGCGGCTTGTACCCGTTGGCCAGCGCCCATTCCTCGCTGGCGACCAGGCACGCCGATGCGCCGTCCGTCAAAAACGAGGCGTTGGCTAAAACAAATAGGAATTTGGGCGCAAAAAGTCTCAGGTCTTGATAATCCGAAGATAAACGCCCAAATCAAGCTCCAAAGGCTAATGCTCACCAGCAGTGATCGTTCCGTGAGGCTTGATGAAGGCGGGCTTCAGTGACGACAGCTTCTCGATGGTGCCGACGCGGATTCCGTTGTCCTCCTTGACGGTCTGCGCCTTCTTGCCCTCGATGAAGACGGGTTCGATGTCTAAAAAGCAATATAACGAAAAATCAGATAAGTCCATACCCTTCAGCTTGCCGGCCTTGGCCGCCTCCTGGGCCTTGGTGTGCGAGCGGATGGCGAACTCGTCTTGCTCCCTAAAAAGAGTCAAATAGTAAAAAGCAAATCAAGGTAGCTACAAACTTGCAAAAAAACTCACTTCCTGCTAACTTTGAAGGCGGCGGCGAGGCGGTCAGCCGAATGGCCCATCGTTTCGCCGGAAGAAAACTCGGCGATGGCGGGCAGCTCGGGGGAGAGGAGGTTCTTCGCAATTTCGCCGGCAATCTTCAGCTTCGACCCGGCGTCCTTGGCCTTTTGGAGACCGAGCATGGCCTTGCGGGCCTAAAAGAATCTTTAAAAGATGCAAGACCGCTTTTCACCTTTCGGTTGTACCGGATCGGCACATCGGACATGAACTCGACGCCACCAGCGATCACCGCATCGGCATAGTCAGACTAAAAAAGATACAGTTCGAAAAAAAATAGAAATAACCTACCTTGATCATTCCAATGGCATCGGCGACGGCCACATTCGACGAGATGCAGGCCAGCGTGACGGTGTGGCACGGGACCTAAACATACACATTTGGTCAGAGCTAATTTTTCTATACCTTATCCGGGAACCCGGCCAGCAGCGCCGCTTCACGGGCAATGTTGCTCGTTCGGCACTCCTGGATGACGGTGCCGCAGATGATATGGTTGACCTTGTCGTGCGAGAGCTGCGTGCGCTTCATCAGGGCTAAAAAGGAGACTTTGAAACGTCAAAAACAAGCAAATTACCCCTCAGCGCCTCCTTCTGCAAATCAACGGCCATCATATCCTTGTAGGCGGTGCCGGCGAGCAGGAACGGCGTTCGCACTGCCTCAACCTATAAAAAGACTTTTTAGGTAAAAAACGTAAAACAAACCAGCACGACATTCTTCCCGGTCCGCTTCACCGCGCTCGAGGCTTGGCGAACGTTTTGGAGGGGCTGTGCGGCGCGGAGCATTACCTAAAAAAGTTAACTAAAGTATAGATAAGAAAGTAAAAAGAATAAAGAAAAATGAACAGAAGAAAAATAAAACAATTTGTTTTCAAAGCGCAAAACAAAACCGAAAAAGTAAAAGCAAACAAACTTTCTGTGCAACCGATCGGCGACGTGATGATACGGGGGATCACGGATATTTACATGGTCTAACCGGATAATTGCTAGCAAAAAAGGGAAAATTATGCAAGTTGGGGTACAAATTCCAAATTTGTCTTGATTGGGGTCAAAGTCTGGGTGCTTGTTATCGGGGGATCGCGCTGGCCGACCGGCTAATCGATAAATGACCACAGGCGCAGACCGGGAACTTACGAGGAAAAGATGGGTAAACTTGGAAGAGGGATTGAAAAGTATAAATTTGAAATGCAAATCTTTCTAAACCTCCAATTGTTGTCTAGAAAGAGGTCGGGAGAAGGATAAAAGCTGAAAACCTGCGCAAAATTTCACTGCTAGCTTGTCTTTATAAGGAAAATGGCTCTATACTGATAACGGGGTCCTTAACTTTTAACGGGGTCCTTAACTTTTATCGGGGTCCTTAAAAATTATCGGGGTCCTTAACTTTTAACGGGGTCCTTAAAAAATATCGGGGTCCTTAGATTTTTACAGGGTCCTTAAAGTTTGGCGGTAAAAAATTCAGGACTCGGTTAAATAACGATCCCTTTAAAATTTTAGAAATAGTTTTGAGGCTCTGGGCTCATGGCCCTTGCCAGAATGCTTAAATATAGTGGGTATGACGAAATAACAAAAGTGGCTTTTGTAAGATGCTTTAACGAAGTAGGGAACTTAGAAGCGAAAAAGTATAGAAATTTTTAGTATTTTGAGTCAAAGGAAGCTATCGGAGTGCGCTATCAAACGTATGGTAAAGATAATCGATCGGTTTGTATTTGCTACATGTAATCCTGGTTGCAAAAGATATCCATATCCCAAAATTAGTCATATTAGCGTAAAACTAAAGATACTTCCTACCGGCACCCTCATACGCTATACTTCAAAAAAAAAAGTTGCCAGCGGCGCTTTGTAGAGGCACTAAAAACAATAACGATGCAAGGGAGCAAATCAGCATGTTTATGTGTTCTCTTTGTTCCAAATAACGATGCAAGTGAGCAAATCAGCAAATCAGCACTATGTTCCAGGGCGGGGTTCGAACTCGAGCTACAAGCCTTCCCAGACAGCCTGCTAACCACTTGGCCAGCAGGAAATCGATAGCCCATCTTAGGGAATAACACCCCAGAGCCTCGAAACTATTTTTAAAATCTTTAGGGGATGCCGACGGCATAGTCAATCGGTTACGCGCGGAAAAGAAAATGTCTCTGCGCCTCTCCCCTGGGCGCGCTCTCTCCCCTGTTGGTTACTTGCCAATTTGTTGATGAGGGGGGATCGACACATGCCGTCGGCAGCCCTTTAAGGACGCCGTAATTTAACTTTTTTACCGCCAAAATTTAAGGACCCTGTAAAAATCTAAGGACCCCGATATTTTTTAAGGACCCCGTTAAAAGTTAAGGACCCCGATAATTTTTAAGGACCCCGATAAAAGTTAAGGACCCCGTTAAAAGTTAAGGACCCCGTTATCAGTATAGAGCCAGGAAAATAAGGTAATCGACTAAACGAAACTTAGAAACGTAGCTTAAAAAGTATCGATTTTATGCGAATCTCTATGCAAGCGCGAACGCCCTCTAGGAAGCTGCCGCTGGCATAATAAACCCGAAAATCAGCGCAGAATTTTGACCACTAGATCGTAATTTGTACTAGGAAATGAAGAAAGGGGGTTAAAAACAGCAAAATTTTGAGAAAACTACTCGAAAACCAATTAAAATGACAATCTGGCCTACCCGAGGCTGTTGTTTTGCCTTTCGGAACTGATATCACCGGGCTGGGTGGCGAAAAGAGAGCTTTTTTGCGGGCTCCGGGCCGCCCTAGGTTGGAAAGAAACCGGCTGCCAACCACAATTTGAGCAAAGTACAAAGGGCACTTCCTAGGATGCTGCGGATTTTGGAGTTTACTCAAGCTTATCGTTTTTCCACGAAAAAAATCAGAAAACTGAAAGTTTTGGTAAAAAAAAATGGGCCCCACCTCGTCTATGTTTTCAGATCTATGAATCGTAAGGTAAAGGGCACTTTCCAGAAAGCTGTGTATTTAAGTTACTATTTTCTAGGTTTCTCAGCCTGCTTTTCCCTGCCGATTCGAAAATGGTAAAATATCAGGCTTGCTTGGCTCAGGTACCCCAATTCCTTTTTAGGTATTTGTATTTCCCGGTTTTTGGTGCAACCCTGCAAAATTTAGAAAAACCACTGTCTAGATAGCACTAAAAGTGTATTTTCCTACAAGTGCAACACTTTTCCCCCGATTTTCCCATGCCTGTTTTTCGACGTGTTCCCCCCGATCGGTGCAGGTGTTTACCCTGTTTGGTCTCCGATCTCCTAGATGAGAAAAAAAGGCGCTGCTGTATATGTGACTTCGGACGAAGATCGGCATTTAGCATGGTATTCGGGGGCACTTTTTAGCACCGAAAAGGTCGTGGTTTTATCTTCAAAAGATTTGAGGGGTACTCGTAGAAAACTCCTAGAAAGTGTAAGAGCCGGAACGGGGGCTACTTTTGGCATCAGCAAAATTAAATCTGGTCAAATTCCTCAAGGGTTTCTGCTGGCTAGCCCTTCAGTGGAACCGAAATCAGGCGTATTTTGGGTTTTTTCAACCCGCCGTTGAGATAGGGTTCGCTCATCCTGGCCAAGCTGATTAAGGAGAAATGGAGATGATATTTAAACGATTTATGAGATTTTCCCTGACTCGCAACGCCACTTTGACGATTCCGATTTTTGCTGTTTACGCGCAGATCTAGAGATCTAGAGATCAAACCCTAAACGTCCCCTGATACCCCATTGCCGCCGATCTTGGGGAGTATCGTAGCATTTGCCTAGCCAAATCACCAAACAAGATCTTCATTTTCCGGCCGTTTTTTTTGGTGATTTGCGTTGTGTACAGCTAGCTGCTTCTCCTCCTGGTCTCTTCCTCCTCCGACCGAACCGCGGCTTATTTGATCCTTTTTTGCCCTTCGTTGGTCGCCCGAAAATGTCGGCGCGGCCGAACGGAAACTGTATACAGCCCATCGTGTGGGCAGCTGCCATCTTCTTTTGATTATGTCTTGGTTTAGTAAGTACGTTTTATTCAGAAATCTGGGTAGAATTGTCTGTGTCGCTCTGCGTCTCTCTCTCTCCCTCTCTCTCTCTGTCTCTCTCTCTCTCTCTCACACTCTCTCTAATTTGCCACCCGTGTTTTGGTGTCTTTATGCGATTTGGGGGAGTGTGCTTGGGCCTGGGAACATGCTGCCAGCAGAGTTTGGATGAGGACGATATGCGGACAGGCGGACTGACGGAATGGCAGGCAGCGAGGAGAGATAGAGAGAGAGAGAGAGATAGAGAGAGAGAGAGAGAGAGAGAGAGAGGGGGGAGAGGGGGGTTATAGAGAGAGCGAGAGACGCAAAGAAGAGCTTCCACAACGTTCTTCTGCCTATCGAACCGGGCATGGGAGGATCCCCCCTGCTCGGCCTCCTTATTTCCATATCGATCATCGACCGGCGTCTGGCCGCCCTGTCTGGGCCCACCGCGGCGATGTATTCGTTTTAGAAGACCCGGTTATTTCGTAAATTTTCGGATTTATGATAATTTCTGGTAGACTTTCCTCTGGATTATTTAGAAACCCATTAAAGCGAAATAACTTTGTATATATGCCAAATTAATAGGAGAGGGAGCATTTTTGAGACTTAAAGGGATACCCAACCTTTCGGGGCTCAAAAAGCAAAAACCATGACGCGGGCGAGGGTCGAACCCGGGACCCCCGCTTTCAAGACCTGGATGCTATCCATTAGGCCATAGTGGCAAGCCATTGGTCGAGATGGGGACGCCACAAGAGGGTGAGGAGGCCGAATTCTGTGCGGCACTGGGCATCCATTACCGCACAAAATTCGTGCGTCATTTGTACTCCCCGGAATACATAACTATATATTTGCCGCCAAAACATTGGGTATCCCTTTAAAGGGACGAGGAACAGAAAATCGACTACTCCACCAGCTAGGTATCCAGAAGACTTGATTTTTATAACTAGCACTCGCTAGTACCAAAACCTTTCCATTCTCCGACCTACAAAAACCAAAGCAGCTATCTTTTTTGCGTTTTTTTCGATCGAAGATTATGTATCGCTTCCGATAACAGCAATCGCAAGCCCACTCCCCAAGACGCTACACAGTTTCCGGACGGAAATCCGGCTACATTGGGGGCTTCCCCGGTCTCATTCAAGGCCCTATCGAGCGAAAAATGGCTTTAAACGCTTTAAATATACTCTTGGCTTTGATCTCTTTGCTCCTCCCTCTCTCTCTCTCTCTCTCTCTCTCTCTCTCTCTCTCGCTTGCACTCACTTCCTCTCGCTCTCTTTGCCCTTCCTCTCCTTTTTGTTTTTTTTATGGCTGTTATAGTAACTTCCTTAATTTGTTATGCTGTTATTATACCTAAGGTACTTTCTAGGTAATTTAATCTTTGATATGATCTAATATGATACCTTAATCGATACTTGTTACCATAACCTATCATTCCCCCCATACTCTGTTCTGCTCAAAAATCCAATATTCCTATGCACGACCTGGGGCTGAGAATGGGCACATTCCCACGCTGGCCGGCCATTCGGGAAGGCCCCCGCTCGGGTGGCTTCTTTCGAGCTCTGATTCTTGCCTCTCTTCCTCTCTCTCTCTCTCTCTCTCTCTCTCCTTCTCTCTCTCTCTCTTTTCTCTCTCTCTCTCTCTCTCTCTCTCTCTCTCTCTCTCTCTCTCTCTCTCTCTCTCTCTCTTACTCTCTCTCTCTCTCTCTCTCTCTCTCTCTTCTCTTTGCCTTACCGTTAAGAGCCGTGCGTCTCGGGACAGACAGTCTGGCCCTCCTCCTCATCCTCGAGCGGCGGGAAGCCCTTTTTCCGTGAGGCCGAACACTTGGTGGGGGAGGAGAAGCTTTTTCATCCCCCGCATAGGGAGGGTTATCAATTGATCCATCGGTATACCATATTTTGCTATTTTTTTGCTCAAAGGAACGTGTAAGGTAGGAATTCGTCCAAAAACCCTAATGACGACGCAGCCGTCTAGCATACGCTCTACGCGGTTCTATGCGTACGTACAGAGTGTAATAATTTGCTGGAATTTTCAAAAGAACGTAGTACGGTGCTGGAACTTTGAAAAAGACATAGTGCAACACTGGAACCTTCAAAAAAAAAACGCCGTGCTACGCTGCAAATTTTGAAAGAAGTCGTATTGTGTTGGAATTCTACAAATCGCCTATTTGGGGAAAAATCGTTTTGATTTTTCCTTCACAATTTGCTACATGGTTTTTTCAGACTCACCGCATTAATAGACATTTTTGGGGGCCTATTTCTGAGGATTTTTCCGTTTTTCGAAAATTGACAATATCCCATTCCCACCAGAATCCGTGGGATTCCCCCGTTCACATGCGAAATTTATGCTCCTTTTGATCCAAGAAATGCCTGGATAAAATGCGCTAAGTGGTCCAAAGGTTCGTTCAGCTTTTCCTCTCGCCCTCGTCTACAAAAATAGAGGATCTCAAATAAATCCGGAACCCCCATTAGCCCCATTCAATAATTAATGGAACGGATTTTCGGAAAATCAACGAGAGGTAGCGATGTTAATCCGAATTTTCATGTCATTTTTAGTGTTTTGAACGCTTTTTTTGTTAAATACGTTAAAATACTGTGTTTTTCATTACATTCCGATACGTATGGAATGGAACCGGATTTCAGTTATCATTCATAAAAATCAATAATAATCATCTAAATAAAGCTAAACTACGAACAATGTACATCTAGTTTTTTTCTATTTTGGACGATTTTTGTAATCATATACGATAAAATACTTTGGATTCCGTTAATTTCCGTTGCTCACGGTAGCTATCGACGTCGATTTAACCCCATCCTCTGCCGTGTTTAGAGCACTTTACATGCAAAAAACGACAAATGGTCATACTTCCGTAACTTTCCGCTCCTTGAGATGTTTTTAAAGTTATCTGGACGCCGAAAAACCATTTCCGTTTCGCTTTATTCCGTTACTTTTCGTTCTTACGTTAATTATCGAAGCCGATTTTGCGTATTAAGAACTACAATAATCACGTTACTTTCCGCTCCCTGCTATGTTTTTGTAGCTACCGGAGCTTCAAAAACACCCCTCCCCATCCCTCTCACGCTATATTTTTCAATTCCGCTGTTGCCGGTGGGAACCAGAAATTTATTCCGCCCCCTCGGAATCTATCTTCAAAGCAGGCATTCGTGGTGGGGATAGCTGTCCGATAATCGCAATTTTGCCAGTAACTCGCGTCATCCAGACCTGATTCGCATTTTTTTTGTTTTGAAAAGAAGAAGTTATCGACCAGGGATGTCGGGTCGACCAGAAACACATCTGCCCGATTTGATAAAAAGTGCAAAATGTGGCTTTGAGGTTACTTTAATGTCTTGGTTCTTATCAAGGGTTAGATAGCACGAAAACGGACACAATTACGGCGTGTTGCCCTTGACATTAAAACTCTTCTTTTGTGTTTGAAGTATTTTTTCCCTTTGGTTTTTCCTATCATATTAGTTTTTTTTATTTTTCCATGTTTGTGTCGGGTGTCCTACGCATTTTTCAAAACGATATTTGTTTAATTTTCTGTCAAAAATCGTGTTGGAAAATGATGGCTCTTCTGCATTATCGGGGGGGGGGGGGGGCAGGGAAGGAAGGATTTTACTAGTGTTTTTAGCAAAATTTGACGATACTAAAAGTAGAAAAACTATAAAAAAACTATGAAAAATTTGAAATTCTGGGCATTGTTCGTCGAAAAATCGATATTTTTATAACTTTTCCTCAATATTTCTGCAGTTTTGAGTTTGGAAATAGTGCAAATGAGCTTGCAAACGTTTCACCTATTTGTCTAAAAAAAGTTGGATTTTAAGAAAAAGCTGGTACTCCGATACGCCCCCCCCCGATAATGCTAAAGTACCAAAATAACAAATCAGTATATTCTGAGAATTAAAACAGCTTAAAATAGATTAAACTAGCTAAAAGCTTTTTGTTGAGGTTTAAAGTAGTTTTAAAGGGCTGGAGAAAGATGGGCCGGCGTCCGTCGGGGTGACGGACCGCCGCGGCGCTACAATCGACGCTTTCCCTCGCGTAAGCGCCCCCAAAAGCCCCTCTCGCGTTTGAAGAAACCAGTTTATTGGCTATAACTTTTTCATTTAGCAATGTTTACTAAAAATTTCCTGAAACCAATGACTTGGTGATACGCATCGATGGTAAAAATTTGAGCTGGATTGGATAGAAGGCGGCCAAGTTCTGGGCGATTCGGGGTTTTGGGACACTGTTTTGGCTGAAAAAGAGGCGCATAGACAGCAAAACATCTCTAGAAAGTTGCAAAGTACGTTGCTATCCTTTAGCAAGGTTTTCTACAACATTTTTAGCTATTATCACCATGAAATTGCTTTTATTTCTAATGGCAGTTCTTGTACAGGTGGCAATGCGCTCCAGGGTATGTGGGGGCCCTCCGCCGCCCCTCTCCACTCGACTCTCTGGTGTACTGGCTAGCGCATCGGACTGCTGGGCGGACCATCCCTGGTTCGACCCCCGTCCGGTGCGACCTGCGTGCGATGCGCTTTCATCGATTCCATCTTTCTCCAGCCCTTTAAAGGGATACCCAAGGTTTTGACGGCAAATATATAGTTATGGATTCCGGGCAGTACCAATGACGCGCGAATTTTGTGCGGCAATGGCGGGCCATTGCCGCACAGAATTCGGACACCTTTCCCACTTGTGGCTTCCCCATCCCACCCAATGGCTTGCCACTATGGCCTAATGGATAGTATCCAGGCCTACAAAACGGGGGTCCCGGGTTCGACCCCCGCCCGCGGCATGGTTTTTGCTTTTTGAGCCCCGAAAAGGTTGGGCATCCCTTTAACGCCATTTGAAATATTAGTATGTCGTTTTAGGGTCCGATTTTCAATAACGTTTTGGACACTTTTATAAGTTTATTTAGTGATAATTTTCGCCTAATCTTCAACTTTATTTTTTTAAACTTTATTTGACAATTTTCCAAAGCCTTGTTATCAGTTTTGAGCCCCTGAAACTCCCGCCAATTCTTTCCCCACCCCCCACTTCCAGCCCCCCCTAGTTTGCTCCCCGATGGCCGGGGCCAAACTTTGCCACGTATCACACGCCGGGTTGACGAAATCTGGTGGTGATTCTGAAACCTGCATGCTCTGATTCATGCTGGCTCACTATTTCAAGAGCATAAGGCTAGCTCCGGCTCCTCCCCTCCCCGAACCCGTTACACGGCACTCCCCAAAACGCCCGGGGGTGTGCTTTAGCGCGCCACCCGGGGCGGGTCGATTTCCTTTCGTCACCTAATTCTAAAAATAGCCCCCGCAGGAAGGGGAGAAATTTGCGGATATCGATTCTCTTGGGAATTCGGTTGTTTTTGTCTCGGGTATTGGGAGGAATTTTGGGGGTTTTGTTTGGCTGGCCAACAAAAAGTTTTGGAGGAAGATCTTGGGGTTAGAAACCTGTTTTGGGTTGGATCACGTGAGGAAATATCGATAAACTAGTCGTAATTCTATGAAGATAGCGTAGTAAAATGGTTTAATAACCCCATTTTAATATTAAATAGTATATAAGGGTGTCGTTGGGCTAATTTTCAAGCTGTAAATTAACTCTACAGGTGTTCTAACGTTTCGAACTTGTATAGTTGCTTTTAATTATGTTTAACATCTGTGTTTAAGCCAGAAAATGTTGTCTATAAAATATTGAAATCTAAAAATGTTTTTAGAAGTTTTAAAACTTTAATTTTTTTACATAAAATTCAACTCTTTTCTATACACAATTTTTTCCTTGCTGCGAAAATTCAGAAAACGGGAATATCTAGAAAAAAATTAGAAAAACATGTCAAAAAAGAAAAAGCCGTGCGTTGCAAATACCTGCCCCAAAATCTCTTGCCCATCAGCAGTTATCACCCGTATTTTTGTGTCGACACGAATTTAGCTGCTTATTTTCGTAGCGTAATCGGATCTTGAATTTTTTGGACGCGCGAATTCCCTTGCATAAGCAATTATTTATTTTTTTTGCTGAATGCCGTTACTCGAATGCTTCCCCGCTTTTACCGGGTCATTATTATTCACGTGCCGGCCCCTCATAAATTTTCCGTCCCGATTATTGTTTACATCCCGGGGCTCGGTTTTCCTTTTTTCTGGCTTTTTCCTTTTTTTCTTTGCAATTTTGCAGCTTCTCGATAAGCTTTTTATGCGGATCACGAGGTTTGGGGGGATTGATTTTAAAACAAGGGAGGCTAGCAGAGATGATTTAGGATTTGCCGGTCCATCCGGTTAAGTCAGCTAGCAGAGAACCTTTTGGAATCCTCTCGCTTTCATAGAGGCTCGAGGCAAGCTAGCAGAAACGATTTAGGAACTGCGGATCACGGGTTTGGGTGGAATGATTTTAAGGCAAGGATAGCTAGCAGAGACGCTTTAGGAATTTAGAGACTGGCAAGCTAGCAGAGATGGCAGAGATCCTTTAGGAAGCCTGAAATTGAGGGTGGTGCTTGATTTTTTGTGTGTTTTCTTTACCTTTCTTTTTCCTTTGTGTTATATCATGACCAAAATACAGAGCCCTCTAGGAATTCCGCCCTTCAAGAAAATGGCGGCTTCAGCTGCGAAGCCGGATATGGGCGAGGAGTTGCTGAACCTGCTCGAGCACGTGTTGGTCAGCTACGAGAATCTTCCAGGGCTTGTCAAGCATTCGAAGCCACTTGCCAAATTGGTACGCATCAAAAAAAAAGAAAGATTTTAACTACTGTACCAACCGAAAAAGACGGTTTTATGAAAAACGTTGATTTCAAAAAAAACCATTTCAGATCCTCGCCGACCTTCAGAAGTGCTTCTCATTTGACAGGAGAAATGGTTATAGCTCGAAAAAACCGCCGTCCCGGACAGCGTCTGGGACAAAGATTTTTCACATTGGCAACGATGAAGCGGAGGAGCTGGATGAAGCCACACCGACACCTGGTTAGTAAGCACACACTAAACATAGTTTTTATCGTTCAAAAACCTCCTGAAAATGGCTATAATGCCCTTGAAAGGTATTTTCCAAAATCCAGCACGATTTAGATAGTATAAAGCTTTCATGTTCCAGCCACCTACATCTCAACGCTAACCAACGGGTGCTCTGCCGTATCACTGGAGAACGGGGATTCGGACTCGGATTCCACATGCAGAATCAAGGCTGTCGGCAGTGTCGAGGGTCTGGAACGAGCTTTCCGGTCAGGTTAGTAATTGCTTAAATTTGGGTTTAAATAGTTGTAAAACCCTGATTAATTTGCATCGTGTTGGGTTGGCCTAACGGTCCTTTGGCCTGTCGGGATTTCGGCCTTCAGGAATTTGACTTCGGGCTCTAAGCTGTCGGTGTTTTGGCCTATCGGATTTTGCACTGTCGGTATTTTGGATGGCCGGATATTTGGCGTGTCGGTATTTATCTAGGAGTTCTGAAGGCGCAATTGGGCTGCAAATTTAAATAATTTTTCAGAGCACTCTCTCTCCGACCGGGACTACCTCCTCCAGATGAAGGGCAAACGGATCAAACACCGCGAGCTGGAGAACCTCATCGACGGGCGCGACTCAAAGAAGAGGGCCGTAGCGCTGAGGAGGGATTTTGTGCAGCATTTCAATCGCGGAGTATCGCTGGAGCAGCTGCCGTACTTTAACTATGACTACGAGCCGGTAAGTATCTTTTCGTAAAGGCGGCGTTCAGCCCCATAATCCAGAAAGTCTTAAAAATACAAAAAGCTATAAAAATAATTTTAGGTCTCTCAAGCATGCTGCGAAAACGTCATCGGATATATGCCGATACCAGTGGGGGTGGCGGGACCCTTGAAAGTAAGTGGAACTAGGGTTTTTGCCGATTTTTTAAGGGGTTGATACGCTTACGTCACGTTAAGCTACGTGCTTAGAAAATTACGTACTTTCAGGTAAACCAACGCGATATTTATATACCCCTGGCGACGACGGAAGGAGCGCTAGTCGCTTCGACAAATCGAGGATGTGCAGCGCTAGCGGTAGGTTTTTCAAATTCGATCCTTTCTAACCATTTCAACATGTCGATTTCTGACCTTTAAAAAGCTGTAAATTATCGACAAGAATACGCAGAATAACTTTTTAAGCAGCTTAAAATATATCGGAACTGCTCCAACTCGGATTTTTCAGCGGTCCGGCGGCGTGAACGTGTTCATTATCGACGACAAAATGACCCGGGCCCCCGTCGTCAAATTCAAGGATGTTGCGGCTTGTCTGTAAGTGGAAAAAAAATAGCAATTTTCGATTTTAATTTTCAGCGCAGTCGATAAATGGCTAAGGGACCCGGACAATTTCGACAATATTAAGCGGGAATTCGAGTCGGACAGCAGGTTTGTTTCTAGTCTTGAATCTTGCGTACAAAAGTCCCTTTTTACGCTTCATTTAACTCAAGTTTTAATGTTCCTTTAAATTAGCATATTTCAAATTGAGGTAACGTAAAATCCCAAAATCGATAATCCCGACAGCCAAAAATCTCGACAGCCAAAACCCGACATGCAAAATAACCGTTTAAAAGGATCCGCGTTCAAACTAGCATCAAGAATTTGTCGGTATTTGGGCTGTCGGAATTTTACTGTCGGGATTTTTTTTGGGGATTATCGATGGAATCCCTAAAAAGCGCCGTTTTTAGTTACGCCAAGTTGCTGAAAATCGAGTCGAGTCCGGAGGGCCTGTTTTTGTTTATCAAATTCTTCGCGAGCACCGGCGATGCGATGGGCATGAATATGGTATCTAAGTAAGTTTTGTTCTTTAATAAACTTACTAACTATATAATACACTTGCTCAGAAATTTAATAACAATAAAAACCATAAAAATCCTTTTCAGAGGCTGCCAGCACGCGATGCGCTACATCAAGGGTGTCTTCAGCGAAATGGAGGTCGTTTGCTTGTCTGGGAATTATTGCGTCGACAAAAAGGCGGCGGCAGTAAATTTGTAAGTATATAAAAATTTATGTATTTAAATTTAAGGTTCTTAAAAGCTATTAATATAAGTATATTCTTCGATTTTTCAGGATTCAAGGCCGAGGGAAGTCGGTGGTAGCTGAAGCCGTCCTTACTGAGGCGGTCGTCAGCGGGATCCTGAAGACCAGCCCCCGGGCGATGGTTGAGGCAGCGAGGGCAAAGGTTGGGCTCAATATCTTGCTCATAAATCGTTGAATATTGTCAAAAATTATAGAAATTAAAAAATTTCTTACTACAGCTCGAGGTCGGGTCCGCGCACGCTGTGACGCTAGGCGGCCAAAATTGTCATGCTGCGAACATTGTTGCTGCTCTTTTCTTAGCTTCTGGACAGGTAGGTAACTCTTTTTCATTCTCTCTCACTCTCTGTCCATCCCTCTCTCGCAATCACTCTCTCTCTCTCTCTCTCTCTCTCTCTCTCTCTCTCTCTCTCGCTCCGCAACCAGACCTCCTTCAGGACGTCGCCCAAGTCGTTTCCTCCTCGATGTGCACCACGCGAATGGAGATCAACGAGTACAACGACCTGCACGTTACCTGCCAGATGCCAGTAGTGGAAGTCGGCACGGTTGGCGGAGGCACTGTTTTGCCAGCGCAGAAGACGGCGCTAGAGGTTCGTAGTCTCAAGTCCGATATGCCGTTATTTTTATCATCCGTAAGCCGGTAAAACTATCCCCAAGGTTCGGCGCCCTAAAGGGATTTGGGAGTAACAACGTGGGCGTGGCTAAAAATTTCGTTTCAGATGATGGGCGTCGCTGGCGGAAACCGTAGCAACCCCGGCGAAAATTCCCGTGAATTGGCGCGTATCGTTTGTGGAGCCGTACTCGCTGGTGAATTGTCTCTGCTCGCCGCCCTGGCTACAGACGATCTAGTGGCCAGTCACATGAAGCTGAATAGGTGCGTCGTCTTCCTCAATGAAGGGTTAAACTTTCGAGGGCTTCTTCCCGAACGTATGAATTACCTAAAAATGTCAAATTTCAAGATGTTAAACTAAGAAGGTCGAAATTTGATAATGCCAAAATCTCAGAGCTTCGGAATTTACTACTGTCGATATTCGCGAGCACAAAAATTTCAGAAGGTCGACATTCAGAGTGTCGAAATGTGATAATGTCGAAAATTTTTGATAGGTATTTGGAAGGTGCCTTGGTAGATTTATTTCTCGTAGACTCATGAAAATGGCATAAAAAAACTGTACATTTCGAAACTTCGACGCCCCAAAATGTCGGCATTCTGACATGACGGCAACATAGAACAATCCCTTGAGAAATCACGCTAGTATGACATCCGCAATTCCGAAATTTCGGCATGTTCGTCGTTCTGCAAGCTTTCCGAATTCTGACTTTCAGTATTCTGAATTTCGCGATAATGATAATAGCAAGCTAAAACACACCTTTCAGATCCCGACTAAATCTTTATACGAACGGCTCCGATGCCACACCACACCTCTCGGCTCCCCTCCTCAACCTCAACTTGAGCCCCTGCTTCCGGGAAAGGCGAGACACCCTGCAAGCCAATGGAAATGGCCGACGTCAGAGGCGGATATCCGACAACCGGAACACCAATTGTTCGAATATTCTATAGATCAAGGGGATTTTTCTGTTCCACGGCTACCATTACGGTAATGTTATCCCCCGAAACCCCCATTCATCGCCGTTTTTCTTTCCATTATATCAGTCGCACCAACGGGATCAGGACACAACTTTGATTTCATCGACTAAATTATTTTTTCTCGTCGATTTTCTAACCAAATCTTGTTGCCAAACCACCAAATTGTTAGTCCCTATTCAATTAGTGCAAATGCGCCTTGATTCAAATTGTCATTTTTGCCTTTTTTTGATGGTTTTCCCTTATTTTTTCCATTGTTACTTGCCTGACCTCATAAAAATCAATTAGAATTTTTTAGACGCCTTAATTTGCTGGGCCCCCTTTTTAGTGAATTTTTTCAGACGTTTTTCGAGCTTTCTCCTTCTGTCGTATTCTTGCTCTCTCTAGCTCTCTCTCTCTTTCTCTCTCTCTCTCTCTCACTCTCTCTCTCCTCCATTTTCTATCTGCCCTTTTAGAAATCCTAGCGTTTAGTTTCAATTCCTAAATTCCCGCTTTGCAGTCCTCGATCCACAGTCCACAGTTCAAAAAAAACTGCGAAATGTTAATTTATGCGATTTTATACAATCCCCGAGCCAACCTTTTTTTGTTCTTTTCATGTCCTTTTTGACTCTGTGTGCCGCCCGATTGTGATATACTCGTCCCCCAAGTTTTGGTGTTATTCGTTTCCTCCCCGAACCTGGCATCGTACGTCTAGCGAGCCGAAAAAAGATAAAAAAAAATTGAATAATCAAATTTGTGGTCGGTAATCGCAAGCTGAATACAGCAATATAGTAATTTAGATGGATAAAGAGATTGCAACAGAGTCAGAGTGAGAGAGTGAAAGAGACAGAGAGAGGGAGCGATTGAGAAAGACGCGGACGAGAGAGATAGAGACATCGAAAGGGAGTGAGAGGGAGAAGAAGACAAAAGAGAGAGACAGGGAGATAGTGATAGAGCACGAGTGCGAGAGAGAAATAAAGAGAGTGTGAATGTGTGCGAGAGCGAGACACATAAAGAGAGCAACAGAGAGTCAAAACGAGGTGAGAGAGGGGAGCGAGAGAAACGAGCTACTCTTCTGACACGTTTCGGATGTTGATGTACGCAGCAGCAAAATGACAGGATTTCCTAGCCTAATTGTTTGTTTTTTACACATAAGTATGTTTTCAATATTTTTAAAAGTGATTTTGAAGTTTTTCGCTCAAGCTGCTCTAGCGTACTTTTTCCATAGATTTATTTCCGAATAGATCAAAACAAAACATACTAAAGCCCAAGCCAAGGATAGTCAAGAAAATATTGATATTATATAAAAACTACCATTGTTCAAAGGAACCAGATTTCAATCCAAACTCGGATAATTCAAAACGACGCTGAAAACAATAAGTTAAACGATATACCAAGTACATATCACAGCGGACTTTCGGTGGGGGAAGAGAAGCGGAATATTTCGACTTTAAATAAATTTAATTTAGTGAATTTAGCGTGCAGGGGCGCAACTCGTAGTCGTAACAGAAAATGGGGGAAATGCGGGAATCAAAAAAAATGGGAATTCAAAATTGGTCGTGGATTGCACGGGTAATTGGGGAAATGGTGTGGCGATGTGGGACCCAGTTTGGAGCGGAAAATACGAAATTTTCGGGGTTTTAAAGGTCTAGTCAACTTTGAGGGATCCGTAGATTTTGGTGACGAAGAAGAAGGTGGAGATGAAGCCGATTGTGCCTGGAAAATAGGATAAATCATTTACATTGTTGATTCGAGACTTGTTAACACACTCGCACCTTCTCGCTCGCTCGCTCGCTCTCTCTCTCTCTCTCTCTCTCTTTCCCTCTCTCTCTCTCTCGTCTGAAAATCACTCACCAGTGGCCAAGAAGAACAGGAAGACGAAGATGGCGGTGTAGGAGAAGTACAAGATCGTCGACACGACACCGGAGATGACCAGCTTGCTGGTGAAGTAGTGCACGCAGTAGGCGAACAGATAGACGGCCGTGAAGCCTGAGGTGAAGAACGAGCGCCACCACCAGTGGTAATCCTAGAAAATCGGGTTCGAATCGTTTTTTCCGCGCCTGGCAGCGTCCCTTTAAAGCGACGCGTGGCGGTTCGCATTACCGCTCGTGTTACGGTTCGCGTCCCGCGGCCAACGTTCGAAAAGATGTCGTTTACTCTGCTCTTACCTCAGCACAAAGATGGAAATACGCAAGCAGGATCGTGGCCTCCGAGCAGGTGATGATCAAAATGACGTAGACGAGGAACAGGAAGCCGAACATGTAGTACGTTTGATGGGCCCTAAAAGGCTTAGATTCCATTATGCTCCATCGCGATTTCAGTGTAACTTGTAGCGTCTCGTAGTCGATACTCACCAGATGGAGTTGAGGATGAAGAAGAGCTGGATGAAGATGCAGCCGAACGGTAGAATACCACCCATCAGCATGCCGGGGAGCGGCTTGGTGTACAGGGTTTGTTCGGGGACCTGTAAGGCGATATATTGATTGTTCTATAGAGTTCTCTGCTAGCATGCCAATCTTTCTGCGGATCTGACTACGCAGTCCCTTTAAAGACGTACCTGACGAGGAATCTGGTTGGTTCGGACCGGATGTTCAATGCCACGTTTCTTAAATCCAAAGTACGCGCCGAGGAAGGTCATCGGGGTGGCGATGAACAGCCACATGGCCAGCAGGGCGATCAGCGTCCCGAATGGAACGGCAGCTGAGGAACCCTTGGCCCACAGGAGCGTGTTGGTGAAGAAGAACACGCCGAACACGATGCTGAAAATTATTTTGATAATTAGGTATCTGTCAGGCTCACTTTAAAACCCCTAGCAAGTTGAGAAAAGCTGGATGAATTGCTGTAGATGATCATCTACCTGTCATAGCCCCTTTATCCCCAAAAGCGTCGAGAAAAGTTCGGCGAATAGCTGTAGATGATCAACTATCTGGGGACAATTAGCTAGCTGTCAAGCTCAAACCCTCAAAACGATGAGAAAAGCACACCGAATTGCTATAGATGATCAGCTACTTAAATTAGCTACGATGCCGCATTGACAACCCCACATTTTATCCAGAAAGTTCATCTACCTCGGTACGAAGAACGCGGTCAGCATCAAGTTCGTCTTCCAGTGAATCCCGTTGAACGTCTTGTAAAGCCTGGCTGACACCAGACCGGCGGCGATTCCGAAGAAGACGTAGAAGAAGATGGCGAACGTCATCAGCGAGCCGCGGTTGGCGGGGGACAAGAAGCCGAGGCAAGCGAAGACTAGAAAACGTCCATTTAGAGCAAGATCGTCTATTGCTTACCCAGCGTGATCGAGACGGACATCAACACTTGAGCTCCAGATCCGACAAAGACGGAGAGGAACATGGCATTCTTGGGGGAGCGGAAAACGTCACCGTGGACGAGCTTCCAGCCGAACTCCTCGGCGGCGTCCTCCTGAAAATTTAGGGTAGAGAGAGAGAGAGAGAGAGAGAGAGAGAGAGAGAGAGATAGTTGCTTACCTCATCGTTATACCGAGCAATATCCCTGTGCAGCGTCCGCATCAAGATCATCCCCACCATGCCGGACAGGAACAAGACGATGACCAACGAGTTCATGATGGAGAACCACTGGATGTTCGTGTGCGGCATCGAGTTCAAGATGTAATCCCAACGGGATGACCACTTGATGTCGGTTTTCTAAAAAAAATATCAGTATTTTGAGGTCAGCGCCTTTTTACAGGGACTGGGAAGCCAAATTTTTGACTGCCCACCTTCCACTTGATGCTGTACGTGTAGGTGATCTCGCCATTGGCACTTCCGGCCTTGAGTGGCAGCGGCGCGGCGGTAGGGGAGCAGTCCGGAGTCGAGCCGTGCTTTATCGAGCGGGGCTGGACGCGGATTGCGATGATGCGACCGCCGACCTGAAGGAGTTCAAAGGTTGAGGAGAGCGACGAGAGAGAGAGAGAGAGAGAGAGAGAGAGAGAGAGAGAGAAAGAGAGAGAAAAGGAGAGACCCTTCAGCTCCAAACCTACCTTCTCATCCAAGAAATTCGGGTCCATGCTCATGTCCCTGTACTCGATCTCCAGGTCCATGTGGTTGAAGATGTAGTAGTTGTCCGGCTGGTTGAAATGGGACTAAAAAAATTTTTTAGCGGATTAATTAATAGTTAAAGAGGCGTTGAAGCGAAAAATCCATATTTTCAAAAAATTACATCCAAAACGCAGGCATCGTGTTGCATGCCGTCCTTGCCGACGTAGCAGCCCATCGGGAAGCCGGTGGTGCAGATCTTAAATGCAGAAATTCAGCATAAAAATGAGGTTTCGCATCGTTAAGATGAATTTTATATCCTTACCTGAGCATTCTGCTGGTTGACAAAGCAGAACGTCACCGGCATGTTGTCGACGATCCTGGAAGCGAGGATTCAACGAGTTCAACGAGTTCAGCTGCCTCTCTCTCTTGCTTTCCTTGAACTCACCAGTGATGCTGATAGTTCAGCTTCATCCCCCGCTGCAGCAGCCTCATCTTATCCTGGGCTTGGGCCGAGTTGTCGTACTTTTTGGTACACACTGCCGCGCAGTTGGTGTCCTCCTCGAAGCCGATCTGAAAAGTTTAGCGTTTTCATTGCTCCTATCTCTCACCTTGTACATGCTGGGCCTGATGCGCTCGCCGAAGAGGACCTGGCCAAGATTTTCGACCGGGGATTCATCTTCAGAACCGACACAGAAGTCGAAGCTGAAAATCATGATTAGGCTTCGTTTCTCAAATGGTTTCTGCTGGCCTGCTTTCGACCGCTTTACGAATTCCCGAAAGTTATCTGCTAGCTAGCCCTCAAAAAACTTACCTATGGTATTCATACGGAATCACACTGCGATCCGAGTCGAGTCTATTGACGTAGAGCGTCACATTACTTGGGCAGGTGGCCTTGGCGAATTCCTTTTTACAAAAGTTGACCGGGGCCAAGCCGGGCAGGTAGAAGCTGAGGCATAGTGGCAAGAACCACAGCCCCACCACCAGTAATGGTCTCATTCACCTGCAAAAAAATGGAATATTACTTTTTTGAAAGGTATCCGGGAGAGCGATAGAGAGAGACAGAGCGAGAGAGAGACAAAGAGAGAGAGAGAGTATGAGGAAAAAAGCCCAGGGCAATTTGCAATCGATTGCTCAAGATTGTAGCACAGAAAAGTCACCCCTTGGTGCCCTTATCGTCACAAATTATCGCCCTACTTTCGCAAGGACGGAACTTTTTGTGAGTTTTGCGGGAAATCTGGAAAACTTGACATTACGCTTGACAGCAAAAAAAGCATACAAACTATACAAAAACATTTACGAAAGTACAAATGTATCTTTTCATAATACACGAAATTGATCCTTGATTCTAGTAGAAAGCTTCCAGTAACACCTTCCAAAATGCTAACGATCCTCGGCATTTTTTCTAATATGTCAACTTCAACAAAAATTGCTAGAAAAACTCACAAATATTCAATTTCAGATGCCATTTTCCTTTTCTTGCTTCAAATTCAAAAAATGTTAATTTTTAAGTTCGTTCGGGTCAGGAGCTTGGCGAATTTACAGAATTCTAAAACCTAAATCCCATGGAAAGGTGTCTGCTAACCGCAAAACAGGGATCCAGACTTAGAAAATAAGCCTAGTTCCTGAAAATTCAAAGCTGTCTTTCGATTTAGCACACTAAATTTAGCAGCCCACTCTACAAGAAGTGGAAAGTACTTCATAATTGATTGAAAACGTATCGCTGTGGCGATGATATTTGCACAATGCTGGCCTTTTCTCACAATAGAAAGCCCATACAACGACACTTTCGCCGTGGATTCGAGCCCTGCGTGGCAATGGGGGACCCCGTGTGGCCGGGCACAAAGCGAAGGGGGTACGGTGCATGGGACACGTTTTGGGAGACAGGAGTCTTGGCGGCGGGAGGCTGAAGACATTCCTGAAGTGTCTCCGCTAATCTGCCCTAAAAATATGGTTGAAACATGATAGCTAGTAGTAATATGCCGTTGGGAATTCCATAAATTTAGTCCATTAATGGGAGATCAGTCTCAGCCGACCAATAAATCAAAAATAAATTAGTTTTCCTCAGAAATCTCGGCTAGCTGCCCCTTATTCCGAAAATCCAGAGTAAGATCCATCGATTATGCTTCCTCAAAGATGCTTGTGGGCTTGCCCCTGCGCGAAAAAATCTTTTACGCGTTTGCAGATGACGCTAGCTTCTGACTTGACCGAGGCTCCTCAATAATCTTTGCAAGCTTGCCTTAGTGGTGAAAATCAGAGAACGAAACTATCAAACTTTCTAATACATTTTTGAGCAGATTTATGCCCCCAAATTTTCTCTATTAGCTTGTTCTCATTTTTCAAAATCGGCAGAAAAAGGTCTACGAAATCGAGGGCAAGCCAGCAGCAACCATTTGTGATCCCCGATCCACTTTGCGAAAGTTAGAAGACCCTTAACTGGCCTTCAATGCCTTTACAATCCCTTTAAAATGCACTTTGCGACCAAAGAATTGATAGAATTTATTCAAATAATAAAATCTGTAAGACCTGTACATTTATTAAAAAGCTCAAAAAATATTATTATCACAATCATTATTCACCAGTACTCAATACCCAATCTGAATTCATGGCTTTTTCGCGTCCGGCTTGGCCGGCTCGGGAGCCTTGGTGGTGAGGGCGGGGAACAGCTTTTCCCATGTCCTCTTGGCATTTTCCGGCTTCAGCGATTCGAAGAACTCCTTCAATGGATCGGGCTTGCCGGCTTCAGCTGCTTTCTTCTTGGCCTCTTCCTCGCGCTTGACTTGTCTGGAAAGGGGAAAATATTTAAGGGGCTTTTAAGATAGTTGGAGGCAGGAATTAAACTACATAAATTAAAGTACATTTTATACACGCGTTAAAGGGACTGATAAACGAAAATTAATTCGTCTCGGATTACGTTATCGTACGCGCTAATACATCTGAAAGTAACTGGAAAGAGGAATGCTGTCAGAGTAACTGACAGTACGCTTTGTTGCACGCTTTAAATGGACTGGGAAGCGCGAAAATCGACCTAGCTTTTGGATAGGTCTCGCAAGCTACGCCACGCACCAAAAGACGCGCAATTATAACTTTATCTTTGCGAAAATATTACGTTTTACGAGTGATTCAAATTCATACTAAACGTGCGTTGACGCAAACCGTAGCTGTCAAAGCCTAGTAAAAATCAGGGGTTGATTTTCGTGATTTTGAGCGATTTAAAAAGCTCATTCTCCTTTGTTACAAATTACGCTACATTCCGAATGAATCTACCGGTAATTCTACTTGTATCACATTACCCATTCTGAAATTTCAAGTGGCTACTTGTCATGCCTCACCGTTTTCCCTTGGCCTCGGCCTCCTTTTTGGCCTGGTGCCATTTGTGCCGTTCGCCGGGGCTCATTTTCTTGAGCTTCGCCTTCAGCGCTTTTTTGGCTGCGGATTTCCTTAATTTTGTGGCTAAATAAAAATTGCTACGTTAGCGGAAAAAAGTGTCAAAACGCACGGCAGAACGGGTGAAAATACAATAAAATTTTGTACCACACGGTGAGGCACGGCAAGGGTGTTATTTCGGAAAAAGTGGATTTATCTCATAAATGTCATTAAATTTTACTATTTCAAACTTGTAAATTCATTAATATAATTATTTTATACAATTTTAAAGCTACTGCAAATTTTATAATACTTTGAAGAAAATACCTTATACCAAACTAATAATTTCAACCGTCGAAAAGCCTCAAAAATCGAAATGGAAGGTTATAAAAAACTGCCTTTTTTTATGCTATCTTTGAAACGCTATTTTTGTAACTTCAAGTAAATAATAATAAAAAATTGGGACCACTTTTAAAAACTGTGTTTGATAACATTTGTAACACGAGTCGATTTATGCTAATTTTTACCAGCTTTTGTGTGTATTTTTCGGATTTAGCTCATTTCCAGGCCACCCTTTAGTCCGCTTCCCACGTGTTTTCTACCCTTAAAAATCTGAATCCCCACAAATTTTCATTTCTCATCATCAGGCGTGGATTTTCCGATCCATTCCAATGGGCAACTAATTGCGGTTGCGGTGTTTCCGTGTGGTGGCCGGGTGCCAATTTTGTGGCCACATCAAACGACCCAAATTCTCGGGTATCACACACGCCAATTTGCGCCCGGGCAGGCATTTTTTAGGGGGACGGGAGGGCAAGAAGGGATATCCGAAACATAGAATTCGGACGGATTCCAGACTTTTAGTGCTACTTCTCGGATTTTTAATGTTGTTTGTGATGAAATCTGCGTTTCAGAAGACTTTAAAGGAGCGGAAAGCGTTAAAATTGACCTTCTTCTTTGAATAGGTCTCGACAAGCACGCTACACACTAAAACACTCCCCTTTTAGTACTTATATAAGAAATTTGTAACGGTTGACAGCGTAGTTTGTAGTAAAATCGATTATCTGGAATCCCTAAAAAGTGCTGGCAAGCCTGGGAATCGACGTTTTTCTTTGACTAGATCTCGACATGGACGCTACGCGCCAAATCACGTGCTTTTAAAATTTTTAAGGTACTTTGAAGGTTTTAAAGTTTTCAAAAGCTTCTCGTGTGGTCATAACCGTAAATTTTGTGAAACGAGGACGTTTTAAAGAGCCTAAAAAGCACCAGGATCGACCCCTTCGATGCACTAGGTCTCGACAGCTACGCCGAAGACCAAATACGCGTTTTATAGCACCTAGATAAGTGGCATGGAAGCAAAAATCAAGCGCAGAATGCGTCTTGGAACGTGGCGGTTTAGGCCTAGTCGAAAGCAAGGATAGAAACTCACGCTGCCCGGTCCCTTTAAAGTCATTGCTAAGCTGGTGCTCACTGCAAAAACACTCTATGAGTTGCAACTCACTTTTGCCTATCGGCCTGCTGCTTGCGGCGAATGATTTTTGAGGCGGCCTCCAGGGAAGCGGAGCTGCAAAAGAATTAAAATTGGTCAGGCTTAACTATATCTTTCTCTAGTAATATGAAACACTTGAGGAATCTCTGCTAGCCTGCCCCGAATTGTCAATTTTTTAGAGTGGCCAGTAAAATATCGGCACAAAGCTGAAGCTCCCCTTAGACTCTCCTACCGTACCTCAACTCCTCGCTATCCTCCGCCTGCCCAGAGACATCAGCCGAAGTGACCTGATCGTCGTACTCCTCCGACTTCCCCGTCCTTAGACTCGTCTTCTGGCTCAAGGCTTTTGGCCTGGGTGAGGTAGCAGCTTCCTTTTTCTGAGTCACTTTCTCCTTTGGCTTTCCTGTAGTGACTGCGGTGGTAACTGGAGTTGTAGACGGAGTCGTAGATGCGGTAGTCGGCAGCTCAGGCTCCTTCTTGTCCTCCTTCTTCTTGTCCTTCTTCTCCTTCTTTTTCTTGTGCTTTTCCTCAGAATTCTCGGCTTCAGTTACTTCTTCTACTTCTTGGGAAACTTTTTTGACTTCATTTTTCTTGGACTTCTTGGTTTTCTTCGTATTTTCAGATTTTTCGTCAGAATTTTCGACTTCAGTAACTTGCTCAACTTCTTCTGAATGGTTCTTAGCATCGCTTTTCTTATTTTTCTTGGACTTCTTGGACTTCTCCGGCTTCTCCACCGATTTTTCGACCTCTTCCTCCTTCGAGGCCTTCTTGTGCTCCTTTTTCTTTTCCTTTTTAGATTTTTCCGGCTTCTCCTCAGATTCCTCGGCTTCGGGGAGTTCAGAAGCTTCAGTCTCTTTCTTGGCTGCTTCCTTCTTAGCTTTTTTAGCTTGCTTTTTCTCAACCTTCTTCTTGCCCTCTTGCTCAAGCTCGTCCTCCTTCGGCTTCTCTTGCTTTTTCTCCTTCAAATCCCTTTTCTTCTTCTCCGCCTTCTCCTTCTTGGTCGTGGTTTCTGTCGTCTGATCAACCGTCTGCAGTTTCTCGGCCTTTTTCAGTGGCTCCGGCCTATCGTCCTGCTTATCCACCTTGTGCTCATTTTCTTTTTTCTCCCCCTTCTTCGCCCTAACGAGCACAACGCCCATCTCGCTCTCTTGCTCGTGGAACAGGGCGAGGAGTTTCAGCTGGTACTCCTGGTTGAGGGCGTCGAGTCTAAAAATGACGATGTATCCATCAACTGGCTCTCTCTCGCTGTCTATCTATCTCTCTCTCCCTCTCTCTCGCTCTTTCTCCCTCTCTCTCCATTATTGTTCAAAAAGCTGATTATTGTAACCTTGTCTTTACCTTTTCCCCTAAAGTAAGAGCATTAGAAATTTAAATTACTTCAGTTGCATTAATGAAAATCCGCAACTCCGCCGAATTTCCATACCCTGTCAACAATCCTCCGTCTGATCCACTTTAAATTCGCAAAAAATCTGCCCCCTTTCCCCGCTCTCGCGAGGACCACCCGATGCCATTTTGACCCGGTATTGAAAGGAGGGCATCGAGTCCCATGGGAACGGGTTCAAGTTGTGTGGGATATTCCCCCCACCTCCTTCAGCACCCCCATTCAAAAACGGCTGAAGGTTTCGCGAGAAAACACACGAAATTCAAGGCTCGAATTTGCGAATTTTTGTTTTTACGCCCTTGGCAATTGTCGTTTTCCGGCGCAATTTCGAGATTTGGGTTGACTATCGCGCTATCTCTCTCGCTCTCTCTCTCTCACTCTCTCTCACTCGCTCTCTCTTTCTCTCTCTTTCTCTCTTTCTTGCTTTCGTAAGTTATAAATTATCCTCACTTTTTCTTCTTCGCCGGATCGCTCAAAATCTTGGCCAGAATCTCGTGCTCGCTCCAGGCGCTGGTGCCGCTTACTTCTGGTTTTACTGTAGTAGTCGCGGCTTCTGTAGCTGCAGTGAGATCCCTAAAAATAGAGCTTTATATGCATTAAATCATTTAAATCTTGAACTTTGAAATTCTCAAGCTTACTCGTCATTTGGCATGGCTTCCCGTTTGACCACTCGGGTGGTGGCTAGCCTGAAAAAATTTCCAATCAAAATTTGGTTGATTTTTGCGGCTTTTCATCGGTCCACGGCGCTTAAAAATTATTTTTAGGCGTTGAGAGGCATAGAGATTGTCTGTTTGAAAAATAATCTTTATGGCCTGCTAAAAACCGAGAAAATGCTTAAAATGCTTACCCGAAGACCGCCAGCAACAGCAAAGCTATCCTCATTTTAGAATAATAACCAAATTCTGCTAAAATAGGATATTAAAGGATCCGGTAACCAATATTAGCGCAATCTAGCCAACCCAAGATCGCGCTCAAAAGAGAGCTCGAGCTGTTTTGTGTGCCTGAGGCTCGTCCCGGGGGCGATGTGGTGAGGGTGACCTGGTCGGGATCCAGTCTTCACGCTTTCTCTTTCTCTCTCTCTCTCTCTCTCTCTCTCTCTCTCTCTCCCATCCATACATCCATAAGCCTTTTATCCGAGAACACATCCACTTTTCCTTATCCGGTTCTGTTCCTTTCGCTGCCTAGAGAAAATGGAGTGAAGGAGGAGCAACAGACTTCGTGAAGGAGGGCAAGGAAAAAGTCGTTTCCACGTCTCTAGCACGGCGAAAAGTCACAAAAAATCATCCGCCCACTCATCGGAGGTCTAGGATGAGCAAGGAGCACGAGCTAGCTAGCTAGCTAGAGAAAAGTAACGACGTGCAACTTAAATCTAGGCGAGATCTAAAAGAATTCGGCAAAAGCTGTTTAAAGGGAGTTTGCCGGCATACTCTCTTGATAATGCACAGATCTTGCCTATCTTTATTTTTCTTGCTCTTTCTCTCTATCACTCCTTCTCCCTCCCTCTTTCTCTCCGTCCCCCTTCCTCTCTCTCTCTCTCTCTCTCTCTCTCTCTCTCTCTCTATCGCTGTCTCTCTTCTTAAAGAGATCTAGAAGCGCTGGATTCGACCCTTACCGCACGACTAGGTCTTGACAACAACAGACCGTCCAAATCACACTTGAAAACGCCATTGAGTCAAGCTCCAGCAAGACATGGAACAGCAAAATGAGCTCGAGATCCGCTTTTTGGATCGCCGCATAATTAGTTGTCTAGGGTCGATTGTTGCATTTCCCAGTATCCTTGAGTCTACCCTTTAATCCCGGTCCTTGGTACCGGAAGTCATTTTGATCCACATGCTATAGACCTAAAAGACAATTGCCGATAATACGTCACAGAAGACAATCCCTTTTCTCGGGCCCGTCCTCCTTATATTCCACCAAATTATTTTGCGAGCTGCTCTCTGTCGGGATCGCAAGCATATTGTGGGTCTTCGCCATACGGGAGGAGAGGGCAATGGCCAAGAATTAAGAAAATGAGAGAGCGGAGAGAGAGAGAGAGAGAGAGAGAGAGAGATAGAGGCGAAATAAAGATACACAGCCGAAGAGGGTGTCGCCCAGACAACCGGAAAGTGCTGAGAAATCTTATCTTGGGCCCCTTTGGCCGCTTGGGCCCTTTCTCTGGGGCCCAACAAGGCAAAGAACAGGAGATTCTAGTCATCAGGTGAATTTGAAGCCATCCTTGCTTATGTATCTTGCCCTATTTTGAGAGTCTGTAGTTTTGTATTGTATTTTCGTAATTCAGAAGCCCGGAAGCTAACACTTCGACGTCACTTAAAAAAACTAGACCTTCGGGAAACCACGAAAAAATTTCTGATTTTCACGGTTTTCCAAGAGGCTCACATAGCAGCTTGTCAGAGCAAAGTTTGATTCGGCCTGGCGTGGTCTTCCGATTTTTACGATTTTTACGTTTTACGTTTAGGCCCCTGCTTTTTCTGTATTTGCCAACCTGCTTTACCTTGACTTTTTTATCCTTTCGACGTCGCCCCGATTGAAATTGAGGCTTTTTCTGAGTCTCGGCTGAAATGGAGCATGGGATTTTACGATTTTCGTGCACATATTTGACGGGAACCCCCAAGCCAGAACTGTAAAATCTTTGAATCCCAATTCCCGAAGGACCGTCTGACTCACTGTGACGGATTGTACATTCTGGGTGCTGATTGGTAGTCGGTTTTTGCAAGAGTTCTTGTCAACACGCTGTGCCTCTGTACACCAAAAAAAACTCGGAAATGTGGCATTTCCTGCTACATGCTTTTTTGGAGACTACGAGTGAATCTTATTCACCGCTTTTTATGGCGCGATTGAGGAAGTCCGGTTTTTCTCGAGAGCTGGACTCGATTGAGGGAGAGAGCGAGGGAGAGAGAGGGAGAGAGGCAGAGAGAAATAAAGTTAATGTACCAAACCAAAGTCAACCATGGGCTAAAGAAATTAAAGTGCCCTTTGAACATACCCGCTTTTCAAGTTCTGCCTCTCTCGCGCTCTCAAGTTATTGATTACAAAGATTTTATTTTTCATCGATTTCAGCTTGTCAGCGATCAGCGACATTTTTCCTATGCAACTTTACCAAAACTTGAACACGGCGTTTTCGAAGCCGCGATTTTAAATCGTGCCCCTAGGCCCCTAGGGGCCGTATCAAATCAGCGCTATGCGGAGGGGGCTATAAGTCGTTTTGTCGAATCGGAGGGGCAGAAGCCGTCAGCCATCTGACTGAAAAACGAATTTACTCTCCTGCTTACCCCTTAGGGGTCCTCATCTTTCGTGGCGTATCGAAGAAGGGAGGGGAATTCTGAAGGGGCACGGAGTCGAGTGGACAGCTCAATTTCCCCATTGCCTTTTCGGCTTCTTCTTCTAACCCTTGGCTTCTTCTCAAATGGGCCAAGCAGTTCTTTATAGAGCTGATTGCCATGAGGGTAGAGTCGAGTTTTTCTGTGTTTTTTTTTTGAAAAATGTGAAGCTTTCTAGCAATTACAATTTTAGATGCTCTCTCCCTCTCTCTCTCTCTCTCTCTCTGTCTCTCTCTCTCTCTCTCTCTCTCTCTCTCTCTCCCTCTCTCTTGAAGATGGGTATGCTTGTCATCATAACATTTAAAAAGCTGTAGCTTCACCAGCTTCGATTTAAAGAGACTAGAAAGCCAGAATCAACCCCTATCCCGACTAGGTCTCGACAGCTACATAAAGCTTCAAATGACGCGTACTAACTGCTTTTCCACGCTCTTGCAATGGTCAATTTAAGCAAAATTCGCCGCTATATCACGTGTTTTTGGAGTGCCACGTAGTTGTCTACACCTAGACGCGAAAAGGGGTAAGATTGTCGGGCTTCCTGGTCCCTTTAAAACAACCCGAAAAAATATTACAAACACTGATGTATTTGAAAATTTATTTCATCTATTTCCAAGAAATTCCCAATATATACTTTTCGGTGCCCTTTGTCCTTGAAGTTCGTCCCCAATTTCCAACCCCATTCTGCGAAAAAAAACGATTCACGAATTCCGCGCGGGGGATGTCGACGTCAAATCGGACTCGGGTGGCTGAATGTTCCCCCCCCCCCGAACTGCGCAACAAAGATTTGCCTTTTCAATAATTCACAATAGGAATTGTTTTCGGCGGAAAAAAGAGCGTCGCGTAAGCCCGAATCAGAATCGGGCATCTGCAGTTTTTTGGCCAAGAAAAAACTGGAAGAATAAATTTGGAAATTTGGAAATCTCAAATTAGGTTCGCGAATATGGTCGAAAATCATATAAGGATCAAAATTTCATTTTGTCTTTTTACGAAAATGCCGACGATCCGCCCCGAAATATGCCAAAAACCCGACAACCCCAAATGCCGACAGCCAAAACCGCGAGTACACCCTTGCTGAAGATGCCGATATCAAATGGGCCGTCAAACCCAAAATACCGACAGCAGAAACTGCGAAAGACAACGTTTTCTAAATAGGTAAAACCGCTTCGACGAAATTTAGCCACTAGTGCGTTGCCATATCGGCCGTCGGTATTTTTTCGTCATCACTGCCGAAATTTTGGTTTTTTTTTGTCGGCATTTTGGCCATCCTGTCGATGTTATGGCCCAGATTCAAGCCAAAAACCAAAAAAAATTCGGAGTCTTCAAGTTTTCTATCTCCTTAGCAGTCCCGACACCTTGGCCACATGCCAAAAATGTTCCACCCCCCGGAAAATCCCATCAATCGCCACAGACGTATGTGTATGTTGTGTGTGCATGCGTGGGGCGCTTCTTCTTTCCATGCGTTCTCATCCAAAATGAATGGCCCTTTCCGCCCCTCTCGCCCTTTTTGGGGGGCCAAACGAACCAAAAGCCCGGCCCTGGGCCACAGAAGGGCAACGGATCGGAAGAGCACAGCTGCGATGAATGATGGCTGGGGGATCGGTTACGGGGTTTTTTTTATTATGTTTTTTGTCTAGGTCGCTCTCTGGGATGTTTTTCTGGCTCGGAAAGCTGGATTCTCTCCTTTCGTGACACTGTCCCTTTAAAATCTTCCTACATGTATCTCTCGCTTCTCTGGCTACTCTCGCTCCCTCTCTCTATCGCCCTCTCACCCTCTCTCTCGCTCTCTCACTCTATCTCGCTCCCTCCCTCTCGCTCACTCTTTCTCACTCTCTGTGTGTCTCTCTCGCTCTCTATCTATCTCTCTTTCACACCTTCCGTCTATCTCTCTCCTTCTCTGGTTCTCTCTCGCGCTCTCTCTCCCTCGCTCTCCCTCTCTCCCCGCCAGCCTCATCAATCCCGATCCCAATTTTTTGTGACACGTCCAGCCATGCTCCGGAAGGCGCTGAGAATCCGCTGTGGGAGTTGGCAGGAGGAGGCCGAGGGGGCCCTCCTCCTCTCACTACCCCCTAATTTGTCCCTATTTTCTGCCCCGACGATTGATTGCCGGCCATCTTTTTTTAGATTTCCGTATTTCCCAGGATACGTTGGATTAGAATTTGCTTGCATTTTATTGAGCTCCAGACAGTGAGATAGAAGAGAAGAGAGAGAGAGAGAAAGAGAGAGAGAGACAGAGTTGGAGAGAGAGGTGGTTTGGATTAGAATAGCTATTACATAAACGAAAACCAGCAATAAGTTTAATCCCCGATTTTTCCAGGCTACGGGCTTTTGGATATGCTTTTGTCATGGAAATCGGTATTAAAATTTGGAGCACTTTTTGGAACACTCCCGGGATTGCTCTCGGGTTTTGGGGAAAGAAAAGTACCTTTTGCCACCAGAGAGCCATTTGGAAATTTCATTTTTTGAGAAATCCATTTTGTTTATATTATTTATATTTATTTATCTTTTAAAAGCACCGGAAAGTCAAAATTTCCTTTAAATTTATATTTATTTAAATTTGATTTGACTATG